TTGTTTGAAACCGAATTATTTTTCATTTGCATGTTTGAAGGTCTTCTACGTCTGGTACTTCTCGGATGTGTTTGACGACGAAATACTAGTACGACATCGTTTGATACACACGACAGCGTTATCTTGAAAAACATCCCGTCGGCTGAAAACCGTGTCCTTTGGGTAGCTGTGGATTGTCTCAGTAGCCCGGCTCTGCACCAAAGCCTTCCGGTACCTTCTCCGGAACCCTCTTGAACCTGGATCTGCACCAAAGTCTCCCAGACCTTCTTCGGAACCTTTTCCAAAACCCTGTTGATCCCGACCTGGCTCTGCACCAAAGCCTCCCCCAGAACCTTCTCTGGAACCCTGTTGAACCTGATGTGGCTCTGCACCAAAGTCTCCCAGACCTTCTCCGGAACCTTTTGTGGAACCTTCTCCGGAACGCTGTTGAACCTGACCTGGCTCTGCACCAAAGCCTCCCAGACCTTCTCCAGAACTTTCTCCGGAACCTTCTCCAGAACCTTCTCCGAAACCCTGTTGAACCTGACCTGGCTCCGCACCAAACTCTCCCAGACCTTCTCCGGAACCTTCTCTGGAACCCTGTTGAACCTGACCCGGCGCATGAACCAAAGCCTCCCAGACCTTCTCCGGAACCTTCTCCGGAACCCCGTTGAACCTGACCCGGCGCCTGCACCAGTGCACACCGGAGCTATTCTGGGCTGAAGACCCGATTAGCTTACGCTGTTGGGGAATTAGGCACTGAACCATGAAACATTGGAATTCTTGGGAAAATAACTGGCGATTCTTGGTGTTTTCAATGGAGTGATATTCTTAATGGATGGGAAAATGCTACATTCATGGAACATTTACTGGAAAGCGTGTTTTTGGCGCAATAAATGTTGCATAGTCCTGCATAGTATGTAAATGTTGACTAATGACTAATGTAAAGGTTTCCCGTAAATTTTCCCTTCAACCAATTCGCAGAAAACTACGAAAAATCATGAAGAATAAATGACACATTTCACGGGAACTAACCGCTGAGCACAGTGTCAAACATTCACCAAAAATGCGGGAGATCACCAAGCACCCTTCCATCACTGGATTGGTGCAGGAAATCATGGGTGAGCTCCTCTTGAAATATACTACTCATATAACTAAAAATACCGGCAGCCCCTCAAAGTTGGAACTGCCCAACATCGCCAGTGATTCTTGCACCACCGGTAGCCCAAAATGCCTCCCCAAACTGCAGGTTCCAGCTATCTCTTCCAGCTAGCAGATTCAAAAGGACCTTTTGCCGCCAGTTTCCAAGCATCTGACACCCAAAGCGCACCGCAACTGCTGCAAAGCCCACACTAACACCCACCAGCACGTTGAGAAATTGCCGCAATCGAGTGGCCAACTTCTCTTCTTTCCGCCCGGTGTCATGGCATTTGGACCTCTTCTCTGCCAAATCCCTTTCCTTCTGGTCAAAGGGCGCATGCAACTGAAGGGAGTCCACCCTTCGGAAGATCTCGTAACTCAGTGGTCCGTGCCGCAACTTATGGGGAGCAGAACGGGCAACCCCCGTGGGCTCATCCATTGCTCCGACCCCAGAGGTCGCACAGTGGCTGCAGCTGGCACTTTTGTGTTTCCTGGAAGGGCGCAGCTTGCTCCGGAAAACTAAAGAATATCATTGCCCCTATTGGATTCCTTCAGTGTCTCTTCTTTACCGTTCATCATCGTTGTCTGGTTCTGTCCAGTCTTGTGGGCCAAAACATGCAGTCCGGCGCTGTCTAGGGTTGCGAAGAAAGTGTATGGGGCCTGTCAAACAAGTGTGTTGGATGATGTGTGCAGGTATAATGGATAGCCCCAATGTTGAACGCACCGAAACTGGCAAATCAAGCTTCCCACTTCCTGACGATGGTGAGAAGCCTTTGTAGTGGGTGAAGGTCCAGCCAAAGAGACTACACTGCTGGGGCGTTCCCTATCGGATAAGGATTCCCACTCTCCAGAGTTGCTTAGTCATGTAGCTGATGAAAACAGCAACTGAGCCGCACGACCAGATGGGCCAAGGCCTTCAAGTGGGCCTCCTGCGAAAATGTTCAGAGATCACTGTGCCTCGTGCAACTTCAAACAAGTCAAGAATGCAAAAAAAGTGTGTCCCCCCAAAAAAAAGAGACTAGAAAAAATTGGGCAAGGTTTTTTTGCCCATCTCTGTGGGCATAACAATAGCCCACGTCAGCTGTTAGTTCAAGGCCCACAAGCTCCTGGTCAAAGCCCTTGAGCACCCGCAAGGCAGCTGCACCTCAAGGTTCGGGCTGGGAAAGCCGAGAAATGTTGTTTCTGCTATTTTCTTGTATTTATAGATGTATATCTAGGGTACCGTCACTGTATATGGGTATACATGCATATTGGTGTGTATGCGCATAAATTTATTTTTTTAAAAATATATATATATATATACATATATATATATACAATGTATATAAGTATACAATGTATATACAATGTATGTATATATATATATATAATGTGTATGTTTGTACTATATGCATATCTGTCAAACCTGATGCATGGCACCAAACGCAATCCCTCGCAGCAGCTCCCACTTTTTACTGCCAGCTTCGGCAGGTCTCAAGGGCTCGCATTAAGTGACAGAACCCAGCGGCTTGCTATAAAATTTGCCATTCATCTGCCTTGTCCTCACCCTCACCGCCCTCACCCCCCGGCTCTGTGTTGAACTCTGTGATGGGTTTGGGCACCTGAAAATCCGGACGCGTGGCAAACCACGTGGTGGCTGAGAGGAAGCTGCACTCCTGCGTGGCCTTGGGATCGAAGTTGGGCTCGAAGCTGATTTCGTAGAGGAAGCCATTGTAGTGCAAGATGTAGATTTTTGGCTCGGTCCGGGTCTTATGAAATGCCAAAATGGGTCCAGCTATGTTGGATTGCTTACTTCGAGTATCCTTGGATTCGCCGAGAAAAGGGCAAAAAAAAAACATATTGCCGAAACAACTCCCCAATCATGGTGAATTAACTAACAGGAAAATAGAACATATATCTTCAGCATTCTTCAGCCGATCTAAGTGTCCACTGCTGGTTGTCCCCCATCCATATCAGGCAGGTGGAACTGCCCAAAGCTCCGCAGATCGGCTAAGAGTTGCGGAGTTAAGCCCCGGAGCGCGTCGGCGGCCTTTGACTGCAGGGTCTGCATGGCAGACAAAGGGCCTGCCGGCGATAGATTCATTCAATTGACATGTGTATAGAGGGAAAAAATTGAATAATATAAAGATGTGGGAATAGATAGATAGACAGATAGATAAACAGATATAGATAGCTGGATAGCTGAGTAGATATACAGAGAGCGAAAGAGAGAGAAAGAGCTGTCAACTCACTGCCAAACTGCCAAACTGGGTAATAGATACACCACGATACACCACCCAATAAAAAATAAACTGCGTCATTAGGCGAAACTCTGGTTCCAAGAGCCCACCTGTCCATTTGGGATCCGGTTGCGGCTCCAAGGCTGGCGAAGCGTTCTCCTTCTCCTCCACGTCGGCAACCATGGCATTGTCCAACTTGAAGATGTGAACCGTCACGGACGAGGACCTCCAAGGCAAACATGGAAAGGGTTGGAAAGGGTTCTACGGCCTGGAATTTTGATGAACCAAGCAGATTTGAAAGGTCGTTTTGATCCCGACATGATCTGTTGGCCACAGATTTCGAAGATGGTGCCAAATCTCTCGTCATCACCGTATCGTCACAAAGGGGCTCTATGTCATAAGTCATACATACTGCGACAAACCCAATGCCATAAGCCTCCACTTGGGGATGGCTGAAATCCCACCCATTTCTAGCAGGTCATTGCTAGCATGGTTTATTTCTCCACCTTAGATGAACCGCCCTGGACTTTCACCGCCCAGTGGCGCTACGGCCAAATAGCAGTCGTCGGGCCCCCCGAAGGCCAAGCTGGAGATGACGGCGGGCCGAGTGCTGCGGCGCAGCCTGTACAAGGCCTCTCCATCTTTCGTGCGGAAGACCTTCATCACCTGCTGAGGATGGCAAGGCGGGGGGGGGTCAGCAGGTGGCCTGCTACAAAATGAAACCACCACAAGTGCACAAGTGCTGACTACAGGTTTTTGGGGCTGAAGTGCTGTTTTTGACTGATGTGTCTGTGAGTGATAAAGTGTTGCATCCGGTTTTTGTACGTTGCCTTCCCCTGTTTGGTTTTTAGACCCAAATTCTCTCAACTTCGAAAACTTGGGTTTGCGGTGGTTGTTTTCATCATTACCTGGTGTCCAATTCTTCTATCAATACCCCAATGGACAGAAAAGTCGGAAACCAGCCAATCATAAATCCAATATTGATATCGCAATATGATCAATATCCGATTCACATCGCATGGATATCAAAAACTGGAAAATTGGAAAATCCAAGTCATCCATCAAAATGTCCCATCAAAATCCAAGAAAAACAATTCCAGCCATTATATAATTCCATATGAATCCATTCGAATCGCATATGAATCCGTTTAAAATCCCATAAATATTCCGATTAAGGTGAATGGATTAAGATCATCTTCCTCCATTCAAATCCAAAAAAGCATGGGTGGTTGGCTCATTATTGCTTCACTACAAATGATCCATTCATTTGATTAGCATCCCCAAGGTTTATGGCATTGGCTTTCACACATTCTTTCAATGATCCATCAACTATCCCATGGTCAAGTATTGATGTATCACCAAAATTTCAATGATCCATCAACTATCATGATTAACCATTGGCTAATCATTAACTATTGGGGTTTCCCATGATTTCTGTCTGATTTCTGTGGAAAACACTCCATCTTCCCCGCCCAAGATCCGCACCGTGCCCGTCTCAGAGGCGGTTGCCACCAGGGACCCCGAGGCGCTGAGCTCCAAGCATGCCACGCCCGACTGATGCGCCTCGGTGAAGGCGTGAAGGGGTCCAAAATCCAGGGATAGCGCTGGCAGAGTTGGATTTCACCAGGAGACATGTGGATTTCAGATGATTGAAGCTGTAAAGATAGAGGTTCCCCCATGAAACATGATGAAAAAATATGATTTCAAGACATTAGCCCTGTCAATTTGGGTATAAATATTTGGGAAAACCCAAAGAACTGGGTGAGATGTTGGATTTGATCATCAAAAATTTGGATTTAACTAGAAATATGTAGAAACTAGGTTAAAGCCTAGATTAGCCACAAAAGATAGTACACCTGCAAAGCACCTTTTACTTGAACCATAGCCACACGAAGTTAGGGTGAAAAGCTAATGTATGTACTAGGACTGTGCAACAACACCCCCCGTGCAGTGTAATTACCGCACAGGAAGTGACGCTGCAAATTCGGCTATGTACAGTCTAGTAAGGGATGCCGTTATGTTAAACCAACCAAAACACCACAACAACAACAACAAAGCCCAAACCCTGACCATCGCCTATCCTTTCATAGTCCTTTGCGTCTTCACCTCAGTGTGGCATGAATCGGCAACAAGTGCAAAAATGACAAGGCAAGCCGTTCAATCTGACTTCAAGTGCTGCGATCAACGGATGCGATGAACATCAATTCGATCGGATGCATTCAGCTTTATTTTAGGCTCAACCGGGCTTGTGGTCGAACATGCAATGTGGAAAAAGGTCTTGGCCCGTTACATAGGCCTGCGTTTCCACGCGGCAACAAAAGTTCTTGTGGTCGCCCGGGAGCTTGCCAAAGCAAAGCAATTTTAATTATGGCAAAAAGCTGAATTCGGTATGAGTGAACCCGCGGGGAAGCATTGAGAAAAGCTTCAAAGATGCCTTAACTTCGCAAGGCAAGAGCTTCCGCTCTGCGGTACATGCAACTACCAGCCGTGTGCTTAGCAAGAAGGAATCATGGCAAGAATGAAATGAGTGCCAAATGCCTGCTTCAAATTATATGCATTTCAAAGCGTTAAAGGGAATGTTGTGGACTTGAATTGAGTTGGCAAAAATTCCGACTTAGCACACATGAGTTTGGTTGTTGGTGGAATCGCGCACCCACCCGTGCAATGAAGCTAGTCACCTACCCGAATTAAATCAAAGTAGGCAACAGCTTCCGCTGTGCGACACCTCATACCAAAAGAAGCTAACTCGCCTCAGATGAAGAAGAATCCATCAGGCGAGAGCTTCCGCTCCGCGATGCCTCAGCGATAGCCAGAAGACCACTTGCGATCTCGGCACTGGTGACCTTGATTGCGTCGTCGCCAATCTTCCCACTCCTGGTCCGTCCATTGGTTGTAATAGTCGTTCCATTCCTGCTGACTGTATCCATGCGTGGGCCCCTGATGAGAACCATACCCAGGCCGAGAGGACCTGGTGTAGTCCGGATTTCTCTGCTTTGTTGCAGGCAGGGGTCGGCTTCCGCCTTCCGTGTCCTTTGCCTCCGTGAGGGGGCGCAAGATGTTGTCGACGTAGCTCAGAATGTCGGCATACACATCCTGCTTGGACATCGCAAGGGATTGAAACGTGGTATTGGCTTCGCTCAACACCTCAAAACGGTCTTGCACCGGAATCACCGCGTATGCAGCCGCAAACTGGTTGGCTCGATAGAAGCGGTTTCTGTACCAAAAGGGCACGTGGTCATCGACCACGAATGTCTGCATTTGGCCCGCCTCGTAAGCAACAAGGCGCATACGCGCCTTGAACTGTCGAATTTTCCCAGTGCGGATTTCCTCTTTGGTGCGCCGGATGCTTGGGAGGACGACATTGCCAAGCACTGTGATCCAGTGCATACATTTTGGCATCAAGTCCTGGACCGCGCAATTGAAGGCGTAGTAGGCGTCCGTTCCCAGACGCTGGAGCAACGACATACCAGCTTTTCGCGCTTGTTTCATGTACGAGCGCGCGTGGCTTTTGAGCACGGCGGCAGCAGATCTGATCTGCTTCGAACCCTGAGTGGTTCCCGCCACGTCGTCGTCCCCCAGCATGTCCAGGGTGAGCTCGAAACCAAGCTTCTCGGCAAGCTCCTCCAACCTGAAGACCTGACATGCCCTGCGCATATCAGACATCGTGGCCAGAGAAAGGCCGCAGGCCAAGCAAATGAGCATTCCTTCAGGGAAAACTTTTCTGCACCGAGGGCACGTAAGTTCTGGCATAGCCAGCATGGAGACGTACCGCCAGCGCGTGAGGTTCCCCTCCGCGGCAGGATCGAAGGCATCCTGATCAAATCGATCAGAACGGCGTTCCCGCGCGTTGTCAGGAGCAATCTCAAAGCCCGCTGCCGTCACCGTTGGTTTCCTCGCAACGCAGAGCAAGTTGCTGAAATTCAGAGGACGCTGCTTGTGCTTGGGTAGGAGTTCATCAACCACCTCATACGGTGTGGGGACCTCTTTGTAGATGAAAGGTCGCCTCAGCGTGATCACGTCCTTCCACTGGGAGTACTCGTTGACGAAGAGCATCTTCAAAGCTTCAAGGTCTGAACACTCGTAGCGTTCAAGTTCCTCATAAGCAGGAGTGCCCTTCCGAGCCTCGTTTTCCTCCCAAATGAGAGCGTTCTCGGAGGCCTTCTGTCGAAGGTACTTCTTGACCCCGTTGTAGCCATGATTGGCCCAAAGGTATTGCGACTTCTCGCAATCAAATGCGTAGATGAGGCAATGGTTCGGGATCCAGTCTTCGCAGATGAGTGCTCCGGCCAAGGTTTCCACCAGGCGAATGCCGTAATGCAAGGCGCAATCAGTGTCGATTGCCATGCACAAAGGGCGATTCGTCCTGACACCAGGATCCTTGCCTTCGATTTCCCAAGGCGCATGTCTGGTCATGTAAACATGACCCTTGCATGACGAAGCCCCCGGAAAAATACCGGTGCAAATGATCTGCTGAAGAGCGCTCCACGACGTGTAGTGGTAGATGATGCGAAACTCTTTTGCGACCTCAGCTTCCGCCAGGTGTGGATAAATCGGGACCCTCGGGTAGAGTCCTCTCTTGAGATCTTCCACCGTGAACTGGAAGTCAAGCGAGATGATCTGCTTGACCAATGGAGCTGTTCCCACCTTCTCGATGAGGGACTGGTCATGTCCTTGGCAGGCCTTCACGTGAGTGATGCGATACGGCATGTCCAAGGTTGTCAGTTCCCCGACAACGCCCGCCTCGATTCGACACATAAACCGATCTTGTGTCCTCAGGATCAGATACAAATCCTGGCTTGGACAGCTGGGCTCTGAATCTCTTCTTCAAGTAGCTGTACATGCTCTCGAAGTTGAGGTAGAGCTGGTCGTCGAACTCCGGCGGGATGTGTCGGTGGTGGGGCTCCAAAAACTTGTGGTCGTAACCACGCAACAAACCAGAAACACGCTTGGCGAACTTGAAGTCGTCGTAGCTCAAACGTCCAAGATCTTCAGTGCACCTGATGGTGAACTCCCTGCGCTCGCCCGTTCCCGGGGAGAAAAAGTACCATTTGGGGTATCCAGATGGTCTCAAGGGCGGTTCAGCCGGAGGCTGAGGTCCACCCGTTCCCGGGGGAGGAGCACTTGCAATTGGCGGCTCCTTCTTGGCAATCTTGGGGGCAGGCTCCATCGATGGCAATGCAGTTGATGCCGTCGACTTCTGTGGAGGCGCCCTCGGTGAGGTTGTTGTTGACCATGGCGGTGGTGCCTTGAACGGCAATCCAGCTTTGGTCATGGGTTGGTCCGCAGCTTCCGCTGGGAGCGATGGAGGATCCGGCTTCGGAGACCCCATTCCGCTCTTCGGCGTAGGCGGCGGACTTGGCTTTGGCGACGTCAATGGAGAGGTCCCCGCCGCCCTTGAAACCCTGGGGAGCTGAGGAGCTCGCTTGTATGAGACCATGCATAGTGGCTTGGTCTTTCGTCTTCGGCTTGATGAACTGGCCGACTGTCTCTCCGATCACCTGCGCAATGCCGCTCGAAGAGGCCGCTTCCGATTTGGCTGCAGCCTTCGATTTGGCTTTCGACACAATTTCCAGAGAGGCAACGGGGTCACCCGCGCGAAGCTTTTCCTCAGCGGACTTCGGCTCCTCAAAGATCTCCCTCTCCATCTGTCGGTGCTTCTCTTCATCTGTCAAGTCGAACCGACGGATGATGACCGCGCCTTCCCCAGTCTGCTGCATGGACTCCTGTCGAAGTTCAAGCTTTGCAGGATCTCTGGTGACGTCGGTGTCCAAGATGTTCACCACGCCCGAACCATCCAACTTGAAATCCACAGCGTGAATTTTGTTCATTAGATGGGAGCGCAGCTTCCGCTGGCTGAGCAAGGATGCCGAGCCGCCGACGATGGGGGCCTTGAAGACAATCTCCTCGTCCGCATCCGGCTCGTCAATGTCTCGCTCATCCGACACACCTGGCAACTGATCCAAAAAGGGTTTGAGGATAGCGTCAATGATCTCGCCATCCATCTCCGGCTCCTTGACCTCGTGAGGTTCAAAGTGCTCGGGTTCCCCCGGCAGTGCTGCAGCCACAGATTCCAAAAGTTCCAGATTCGAGGCGGCCGCAGCTGCATCGAAGGAAAAATCTTATAAAGTAGGTGTTGGTTTTTTTAAAGTAGGTGTTCATTCTCTGTGAGAAATCTGCTGATTTTTGATTAACCATTGACTCCAGTCTGGCATTGGCTGGCAGCGAACCTGATTCATTGTGAGCCTGGCTCATTTGCTGAATGGACACATCAATTTGCCTGCCACATATCCCCAGAGCGTTCTGCCTTTTGCTACAGTGTCAAAAACATTTACAATTTTACAACCATGCAGTAGCAGGAAATGATTGAACTCTAAACCCGTGTATAATGACTAACAGCAATTAACTGTATCTGAGATCTTATTCTGTGCCAGTGTTTCAGTTTACTAATGTCGTGGAACAAAGGTCAGCAAGCCAACCTCAACCCTCAACAAAAGGCCTATGGCCGGCAAGCCGGCCTCATCCGAACAAAAGCTAGCATAAGCCAGCCACTGCCCCCGAGAACATGACAGCCAGCAAGCCACTGACTATTAAAATATGTTTTTTATTAAGAGACTGCCATTTTGACGCCTTGTATATTGTTTTTTTACTGTTTCGTTTTTTGTTTTGAGCATATTTCTGGTGGATTTGACTTGATGTCACGGATCGCACTTGACTGTCATGATGATGGATATTTTTCCCCATGTGGCCAGCGTGATTCTGGAGCTTGACGTTAGCAGTTGGCTGCATGTCATGTGGACATCATAGAGCCATTCGTTTTGAAGTTGTAGACGCCATCCAAGAGCACAATGCCATCTTTCAGGGCCATTCTGACATCCTGACAAAGGGCACTGGCACCCATGCCATTATCATGGCTGTGAAACAAATCATAGTCTAAGCGTTACCGCTGCCACCATATCATTGTAACAACCTAAAAAAAGAAGGCAACAAAGAAACACTGCCATCATCAGTCTGCATCTCATAGTGTTGACACACGTGGTCTTGAAGCAGCCATCTATGCAGCAAGACGTGGCGGTGCCCTGAGAGCAGTCTTTTTTCAGTGATGACTGTGATGACATGGTCCATGACAACCACCACTGAAAAAAGGTGTATCGTCAGGCGAAAAAAGCCAGGTGCCAGCCGTACCTCGTCAAGTCAATCCGCCCAAGGGTTTGGCAGCCCGCAAGAAAGTTTTTGTCGGCAGCCGAAAAGTAGCCATCTGCTTGCCGCCTTGGACAGTTCCTAACAATGATGATGGCTAGAGCCAAACGGTCGGTTTCAAAATCGGTCCAGAAAGAAAAAGGCCAGCAAGCCAGCCCTGATTTTAAAAAAGCCGGCAAGCCAGCTTCAGAATCAGATTCAGTGGTATTATTAGTTTCAATGTGTTGAGACTGACTGTTCAGTGATTTTAGCGCTTTTTTGAATGTAGCCTGGCATGCTGATAGCAAACTGCTTTGGGAGCAGCAGCATCGTCGTTTTGCCCGGCCCTGTGGCTGCCAGAAGGCGACCAGGTTCTGCAAATGAAGCCAGTGGCTACCGCGGATGCAGCGTCGCAAACAGAATCATGGCGGTTCGATGAGAATGATATTTCAACCATAAGACGCCCAAAATGACTGCAATCAAGAATAACTTAATTAGTACATATTTTTTTAACTTTTCAAGTTTTACATCATCAACCCTGCTCTCTTGACGATTATTCTCCTTCCGTTCCTGACTGTAACTGCTGTGACGCATTCCCAAGTTGATCTGAAGAATACTAATTAATTTTAAATTAACATAAAGTCAAACAATTCAATCCGGTTTGAAAACTAGCTGTAACTTCATGGGTTTATATATATATATATACTTCGGCCACCAACATGCACCTCACGGAAATCCCGGGCAGAGATGTCACCGTCATGACGTTACCATTATTGTTGCTTCTCTGCTTATGGCTTTTGAATTTTGCTTCCAAACGGCTCTACGTCGAGCTTCGCAAGCCGCGGAAATCCCGGGCATAGATCCCGGAAGTAGCGTTTTGCTTCTAAACGGCTCTTGACAAGCTTCGAAGGACGCGCGCGCGCGCGCGCCGCGGAAATCCCGGGGCATAAATCCCGGAAGTAGCGTTTTGCTTCTAAACAGCTCTACGACGAGCTTCGAAGGACGCGCGCGCGCGCTGCGGAAATCCCGGGCATAGATCCCGGAAGTAGTGTTTTGGTTCTGATTCTAAACAATGAATTTAAAGCTTCCAAGGACGACGCGCGCGCGCGCGCCGCGGAAATCCCGGTATAGGGTTTTGCTTCTAAACGGATCTACGACGAGCTTCGAAGGACGCGCGCGCGCGCGCCGCGGAAATCCCGGGCATAGATCTCGGAAGTAGCGTTTTGCTTCTAAACCGGATTAATTAGACAAAGCTTCGAAGTACGCGCGCGCGCGCGCCGCGAAAATCCCGGGCATACTCTCCGGAAGTAGTCGTTTTGCTTCTAAACAATAATTTATTAGAGCTTCGAAGGACGCGCGCGCGCGCGCCGCGGAAATCCCGGGCATAGATCCCGGAAGTAGCGTTTTGCTTCTAAACGGCTCTTCAAGGAGGGGCGCGCGCGCGCGCGCCGCGGAAATCCCGGGGATGGATCCCGGAAGTAGTGTTGCTTCTAAACGACTCTACAACGAGCTTCGAAGGACGCGCGCGCGCGCGCCGCGGAAATCCCGGGGATGGATCCCGGAAGTAATGTTTTGCTTCTAAACAAATTAAATTCAGAGCTTCCACGGACGCGCGCGCGCGCGTGCGCCGCGGAAATCTCGGGCATAGATCCCGGAAGTAGCGTTTTGCTTCTAAACGGCTCTACGACGAGCTTCGACGGACGCGCGCGCGCGCGGCGCGGAAATCCCGGGCATAGATCCCGGAAGTAGCGGTTTGCTGTACGCCTTTACGACGACGAGCTTCGGAAGGACGCGCGCGCGCGCCGCGGAAATCCCGGGCATAGATCCCGGAAGTAAGTTTTGACTTTGCTTCTAAAGGACGTGCAAGCGCGCACGGCGGAAATCCCGGGCATAGGTCCCGGAAGTAGCGTTTTGCTTCTAACAGCTCTACAAAGAGCTTCGAAGGACGCGCGCGCGCGCGCCGCAGAAATCCCGGGGATGGATCCCGGAAGTAGGTTTTGCTTCTGATTCTAAACAATCTTAGAGCTTCCCAGGACGCGCGCGCGCGCGCCGCGGAAATCTCGGGCAGAGATCCCGGAAGTAGCGTTTTGCTTCTAAACAGCTCTACGACGAGCTTCGAAGGACGCGCGCGCGCGCGCCGCGGAAATCCCGCGCATAGATCCTGGAAGTAGTGTTTTGCTTCTAAACGGTTATATGTAGAGCCTCGAAGGACGCGCGCGCGCGCCGCGGAAATCCCGGGGATGGATCCCGGAAGTAATGTTTTGCTTCTAAACTTGGCGCCTCAAAGAGGGCATAGATCCTAGTGTTTTGCACTGACAGTGAATTTGAGCCACTGATTCAAACTAGACTTAGAGCCTGACACTGACCCGGACACGCCAATTTTTTATTTATTGCCCGCGCTGCATTTACCATCTAAATGTTTTGCCTTTTGCCACACGTTCAAATTAAATCTACAACCCGGGAGTAGGAAATGGTTGAACTGAACGCATGTGTAATGACTATAACAGTAATTATTAACTGCATCTGAGATATTTTTCTGTGCCAGCGCCTGCTATTATTATCTTGGAACTTACTTAAAGGTCATCAAGCCAACCTCAGACTCAACCCTCAACAAAGTAAAGGCCTATGGCCGGCAAGCCGGCCTCATCCGAAAAAAAACCGTAGCACAAGCCAGCCACTGCCCCGAGAACATGACAGCCGGCAAGCCAGCCTGACGACTTATTAGATTATCGTCTTAAACTTATAATATCGACAATATTATTATTCGAATATGTCATCTTGACGCCCTGTATCTTTATCGTGGATTACTTCTTACTGTTTCGGTTTTGTCTTGTTTTGGGCATTTCTGGTGGACTTGATTGCGCAACTATTTTTTCCCTTTGCAGCCAGCGTGATCCTGGAGGTTCATCACAGTGCAAGTTTGAAGTTGTAGACGCCATCCAAAAGCACAATGCCATCTTTCAGGACCATTTTCACGTCCTGACTAAGGGCGCCCACGCCATGATCATCGTTGCGAAACACATCATAGTCCAAAACCTGTACCGCTGCCACCATATCATTATACAATGTAGAAAGAGCAGGCATCAGAGAAATACGGCCATCACCAGTCTCACACTCATAGTGTTGATGCACACGGTCTGCAAAGCAGCCATCAATGCAGCAAGACGTTTGGCATTGGACAAACGTCGCAGGTGGTGCCTTCGGACGCGGCCTTCCATCGTTGTCTTTGAAAATCTGTTCCCATGACTCTTCAGGCGAAGAAAGGCAGGTGCTAGCCGTTTCCATCCAATCAATGAAAGACTGAAGTGCCCGCTTTTTCCCCTCACATCCTTCTAGGTCTTTGAAGCGAAGCGCGGTGTCCCGGAGCACCTTCAACTCCGCCACGAACGAATCGCCCAGGGGTTTGGCAGCTTCCAAGAAAAACAAAAAACCTTTTCGGGTGAGCCGCACAGCCATCTGTCTGCCGCATTGGACAGTCACTGTCACTCACGGTGATGATGATGGTTAGAGCCAAATAACGGTCGGTTTAAACATCGGTTCAGGCATCACAAAGAAAAAGGCCAGCAAGCCAGCCCGATGTTTAAAAAAGCCGGCAAGCCAGCTTCAGACCCAGAATTGATGATGTTGAGTGATTTTTCCTTTTTTTTTTTCCATGCAGCCCGGCAGGCTGACTCACGCTTTATTAACGTATTTCAAATGTCAAGCTGCATAATTCGTCGTCTTGCCATTTTATTCGGTCCTCCTGGCTGAGTACGGGTCCAAGACTCAGACTTTCACGCAGCAGGATAGCGCTGCTCAGGACTGACAGCTTCCTCCAGGGGCAGGAAGGTGGAGGAAGCATAAAATTATTAAACAACCTACTACTTTAAGCCTATTAAATTATTATTAGTTTAACGGGTCCCGTTTTCTTTATGTCGCTCGCGCGCGCGCTTCGCGGAAATACGGCGAATGCTGCGCGCGCGCCTTGCGGAAAACCTCGGGCATCATAGTAGATAATAAATTTATCCGGGGGTATTAGACCACCGGCCCGGGTGTAAGCGACATGATTTTAACTTAAGTCTTTAAGTCAACGCGGGGTGCCGCGGGAGTCACAGACGGCGGATCAAAAAACTTGAAGACTTGTCAGTCCTTCTTCCACGGAAACCGTGAGCTTTGAATGTACTCCGGCAATCGTGGTCTGCGTCCCTCGAGTGGCCCTTTTAACCGGCGGCTCATAATCCAGCCTGACAACATTCTCCGTGATGACACGACTTGGAAAAGCCTGAGCCTTTGGCCAATTTGATTTCCCAGATTTCCTGATGGTCAAAGCTGTCCAGTTTGATTTCCCGGACCTCTCAGACTTATTGTCCTTGGCAGCCTTGTCTGTACTTGGGTCTGCTGGGTCTCTGGGCCTTTGTTTGGCCATGGCTGAAAGCACCGGAAACGTTCCTTCGAACGGTTTTTTTCAAAAAAAACAGTAAATATAGACGAGCAGGGGTCGAGCCTTCAAAACCAAAGTTCGGACCATGTCAGTCATTGCATCAAAAATCAGCCTGTTATCTCACTGAATGATGGTAAACATTTTACAACAACACCCTTGGAGGTCAGCAAGCCAGCATTGTGTTCAGGGATGGACCAATAGGCCAGGCCAATAATAATAATTGGCAAATCCCCTTTAGCGGTCAGCAAGCCAACCTCATTACTCAGGGGCCAATTTAAAACATTCAGCGGTCAGCAAGTCAACCTGATTAAATTAAGTGAATTTTAGTGAAGAGACGAATAGACTTACGATTTCCCTCGTTTACCCTAGTACTATTCAGGGTCAATTTATCGTGGTTAATTAAACCCTTTCCTGGTCAGCAAGCCAACCTCGCTATTCAGGGACCAAAAGACAAGTAGCTAATTATTATTATTATTATTTGTTAATCTCAAACATGGTCAGCAAGCCAACCTCATGGTTAAGTTCAGGGAACACCAAATTGTGAGAGATGCTGTCTTGATAGGGTTACCAGCTTGCCCCAGGAAAAACCCTTAAAAGGTCAGCAAGCCAACCTCAGCAAGTTTCAAGCCAGCTCTTTTTTCCTCCCTCTTCCTCCTCTTCTTCTCATTCCTGATGTCCAGCCGGATACGGGTTTCAGGTGACACGTCTTGTCTCTTATACCTGGCAACGTTGTCGTTCTTGGAAGGCCACGCTCCCGACTGCCTTTTCGGCCGCGCCACCGTCGGGGCGGCTGGTCCGGCGGAAGTCCCGCCGGAGGAGGAAGCCGGCCCGCCCGCCGCAGTTGGCGGCGGAGGCGGCGGTGGCGGGAGGTTAGCCGCCTGGTTCATGTGGGGGCCCAGCGCCATAGCCAATGAGACACGGAGGGTCTCCGCTTTCTGAGTTTCAAGGGCAGATCGCAGCTGCATATTTTCCTTTGCCAGCCTTTCTAAGAGCCTGTCTGAAGGCCTTTTGTCCGGGACCGGTTCGGCCTCTTTGTCATCGGGCGGCTCGGCTTTCACTGCAGCAGCAGCAGCAGATGGGCCAGAAAGCGGCCTCCCGGGTGGCATCATTGCTTCGGATTTGTCCTTTTCGTCGACCTGCAGCGGGGGTCTGTCAAGATCTCTCACTAAATTAAATTGAATTGACGAAATTAAATTTCAGGGCAAACTCGTTGTTAAATCATCATCATGATGAAAACTCGGACCCTTTCGCAAAATTAATGCCCGCCTTGACTCGGGCAACGTCGTCGTCGATGCCGTCGTCGTTGAGGTGGACTTCCACTGTGGTCATCGAGTCCTCTACTGTAGCATCATCTGCAACAGTTGCTACCTCCGGGTTGTCAATGACCTCTTCCTCGCTACTGAAGCAGCACGTCTGGTTGCCATCATCATTGCTAACCGGACTCACTGGCGGACTGAGGTCAGCCATGATGGTGAAGAAAGTGGTTTGATGCTGATGACATTTTGTAAAAGGAGATTGCCTGATGCAGAGTTTTTGTTTGCCATTAGCATGCCATCATTGTACAGATGGTTGACCGTGGCTGACTACAGTCTGAGTCTGATGTTTCCATAGGTCCTATCCAGGTCCTTATTGACCATTGCCATTGAAAGCCTGCCGTGAACTTGCCTGTCACTTTTGGGGTCTGTTGCCCCAAGCTGTCTGAGCGGCTGCAGCGCAAAGTGAATTTATGATCAGTTTGTCCCTTCCGGCCTCATGAGCACAGAAGAATTTTCACAGAAATTTGCCTGACAAGTGACAGACTGTTTGAAGGAAGATTCCCGGCAAGCCGGCAACAATTCAAAAAGTTAGTTATGGCTGCCTTTATGGCCAGCAAGCCGGTTGCAACCTACTATGTCCATTTCAATCACTGCGGGTGACCCCCAAATTAAATTTGACAAAGTTTACAATTGTCTATTCCTCAATCAGATCCCATTACTTGTCCTTAATGACTGTGGCTTGGAGGGCCATGTGTTTTTTTTGTTGTGTTTTGTGCAGTGTCCTGTATTTGGCTAAGTCCTTCTTCTGTAATGCGCAGTTTGCATTGCGGGGCCTTTTATAAAGCGTGCAAAATTATTATTGCTTATGACTCTGACTCGGCGTCAGACTCAGGTAATGGACGGGCAGTGTTGCGCGCATCACTTAGTAATGCATCGGCCGGCGAAACGGGGATGCATAATGGTCCTGGTATAATTAGCTTCGCATTGCGACGCACCATGTGGCCAACAATTAAATATTTACCGATATTATCCAGCATCGTTTACGATCAGTTGCGCGTAAACACTCGGCTCACAACAGGCGAGAGCGGACGTGCGAACCACAAATCGGCACCAAGTAGCTGACTCAAACTGGGAGTATAAACTGTCGCAAGATCGGCAGATCTCAGTGGGCCACTGCCGGGCCTCAACTGCGAGGTCCAGTCCATCTCAGATCGTCTCGGTCTGTACAAAATACTGTTGATGTAATACATTTTTGTTCCGCCCTGCCCCCCTTTTTTGCGTTGCCCACTAGTGAGTGTGACTTGGTGTGACAACCTGTGCCTTGTGCTGGCGCCGCCTCCTGCTTTCAAAGCGTCACGCGTTAATATGGTGAATCGGCGCATCGCAGTGCCACAGAGTGAGCTATCATCGCAAGATGCGCAAGCAGGGCCAATGATACTAACACTTACATCTTAGATTATAGAATAATTTCCATGGATTCCTGCAAATTGGAGACAGTTACAAATATTGACACAGTTGTACAAAATGAAAACATTTTTCCGACAATGCTTCAAGAATCTAAAACCCGGACCCATGTCATTTGTTGGTTTTGAGCTACGTTTATATGGGGAAACTGCTTATTGACTCATGATGATAACCCCTAATTAACGGTCAGCAAGCCAACCTCATTGATCGGGGGCCCATAAAAAAAATTGATTTTTTTATGGCTCTACCCCTTATTATCATAACCCCTTAGCGGTCAGCAAGCCAACCTAACATTATCAACACAGTGACTAATCCGATTCGGCGGGCAAGACAGCCTCAGACCCCTGCTGTGGGCTCCTGCACCCTTTTTTGTCTCTCTCTGTCTCTCTTTTCTGTGTTTGGATATCCGGCCGTGAAGCATTTTGCTTCTTGCATCTAGCGACGAATTTGAATTGTTTGTTGAGGGGCGCCGTCCAAGAGGCCGGCTGTATAGGGCGGACCATTGGACCAGGATCGTTCATGGAATAATGAGTAGTAATAATAATTCTTAAGGCGCTGGGTTATATCCAGAATTCCTTGGTCTGAGAGTTTGGACGACGTTGGTGACATGTACTAAAAGATGGATTCACGCCGGGATTCTCATCTCATTAAGTAACTGAGAATGGTAGACGGTTGCTCATTAACCTGATAGACGATGATGATGCCAGTTTTTCGACAGATTTGAGGCCAGCGAGCTAGAGTGCCAAAATACCTATTAACTATTATAATATTGAAATTGCGGCCGGCAAGCCAGCCTTAAAACCCCATCCTGATTTGAATAAATGAGCCAGCAAGCCAGCTTCAAGCTTCAAGGTCAGACCCTGAGGTCCGCTGTCATCGGATTGACATGAATCTGCATGAGAGTCTCAGCCGGCTAGCAGCAGGCCAGCGCGCGGCAGTTTTTGGCCCAATGATCTGCAGTTTGCAGCCCCTATCTGCACCACTCCTCAGAGTGAAGGCGGTAGAGAATGAGATTAGCACCTTGTTTGTCAAGGCTGTGGCAGGAAGATTCTGCCTTGTTGCATCACCTTTGCAACGACATTAATTAGGCTGTTAAATGTCGAAACAAATCGCACAGGCACAGATGTGATTATTTATTACTACTATTATTATTAATGTTATTATCGACCAATGGAGAAAAACACAACGACTGTCTTATTATCAATCACCTGCTGAAAGTTGATGCCAGCGCGTGAACGGTACACAGACTCGATCAGAATGACTGCAAGCCGCAAGATATAGCCAGGAAGCTAGCCCCAGAACATACCTGACTGCCAAAGTGCCAAACCAGCTAATTAGTTTAATTCACTATATCGTCTATTTTATTCTTATGGCCGGCAAGCCAGCACTTAATTCCATTCCAATTACACGACGAGCCAGCAAGCCAGCTGCAAGCCCCGAGATCACTCTCAGGTCCACTGCCATTGAAGTCCAATTGGGACGAATCTGTGAGTTTTGGTCTCACCAAAGATTTCCGAGCAGTAGGCAGCAATTTTGACCCTGACCCCTTTGTAGACCCAACTCGGAATTTCACACTCCTCAGAGTGATTGACCGAAAGTGTGAGATTATAGCACCTTGTTCATGAATGTGCCTGGGGCCTGGAAGGCAGATTTTGCCTCGTTCAGTCATCTTTGCACCAAACAACTTCAACATTGGACTTTGCTACTTAGAAGTGCAAGACACATCACACAGAATAGCTTAAAAACCAAAGGTTGACGACCAGATGGACCATGGAGAAAACACAAAATGTGGGATGCAGCAAGCAATGCCCAACAGTCGAGATTGCAGTCTGACTCTGCTCCTGGGACCCCAATCCATGAACCAGAAGTGTTTAATAGGAATCAGGACGCTGAATCTGAACCTGGGATTATTTTTACCCTTATGTAATAAATCTAAGTTTTTAAACCTAGGATGCAGTCAGTCAGCCACTTGAGGAATGGAGTCGCAGCGCTTCTTCAGAGGCTAGGTTCACTTGGCCCATCACGTGACAAGCAGGCTTCACGGGGGTAAGACCTTTCGTGGTCCAGCGGACATGCCAGATAACTTTGAGGAGAGGCGAGGACCTGAATGGCAATTTCATGCCAAGGTTGTGCTTGCCGATCTGGCCTTCTTCTCCATCTTTTTTCTGGAAAATCACCCTGTGAGTCGCCTTCAACGTGAAAGCACCTACGGACTGGGGGTCTTCGACAATGTCAAAGTAGCAAATTCGACAATCAGGCTTCTTTTCTCTCATGTCCTTCAGGACTTGACCCAACTTTTGCATGGAGCCGCCGAGAACCACTAAGTCCTCAGACGATGCAAACTGGAGTTCGATGGATTTCTCATTGGCTTCCTGACCTTCCTTCAAAATCCTGTAGCTTCCATTGCCAAACAGAGCAATGCAAGGGTGGCTTCCAGTCCATGCCTTGCCTGACATGTTCACCAAAAAAGCAGTGTCTCCACCACGCAGGTGCACTGTGGGCATGTTTTTCTCCAATTTGACCTCTTGGATGAGAGGCTGCTGGATGTCTGCAACCACGACGTAATATTCTTTGCCCACTGCATCTGCAGCTTCGAGGCGGGGCTTCTTCGGTGAAGGGCCAGAAGTTGAGCTATTATCGCCAGAACGTTTGTTGCTTTCCTCTTCCTGCTTCTTCTTCTCTTCGTCTGGGTCTATCAACTTGCCATGCTTGGACAGGAACGTTTCCATCCAGACTTTGAACTCAGGTCCACAAGTGGCATGGTCCTGCCACTCCCTGACCATGGCCACAGGGAGAAAGAGCTGCTCATCTTTCATTACCTGAATTCAGTGAATGGGGCTTTTAAATTTGCGGCCGGCAAGCCGGCTTCAGATTCATCGAAAAGACACGACCGGCCTTGATGGAAAACTGCAAGCCACCTGCATGCCACCCTTACCACCGTGACTCATTGCGGCGGCAAGATTATTAAACGTGATTAATTAAGTTAGCCAGCAAGCCGGCGGCTTTCAACTGGACTGTCTGGTGTGTGCAAAAAAAACAATTCAGTTAGAAATGCCGAGCGGCCAGCACATTCAGCCTCGGATGTGGCGGCATGGGCTCCATCAGGTCTGCTGCCATCTCTTGCTCAATCTTGGCACCGGTGGGTGTCGGAACTCCTGCTTCATACATCTCCGCAAGCATATCTTGCAAATGCACCTCGACGTAATTGATCTCTTCCTGTGATTCTGCAAATCCCAGGTACTGGACGTTGGGGCGGCCAGACTTCAAACGACAAAACGCTTCAGCCATGTCCCCTTGCCTCATGAAGAGGTCGACTAAAATTACCTGCCCTGGTTCTGGCTGGGCCCCGGTCAAGGCTGCATCGATGATTGCTTGGCAGCCGGTGCTCCCGATCTGCCAATGCTTGGAAGCAATGCTGATCCGGTCTCTTTCATCGATGCTTGAAGGGAGGCTGTCATCGCCCAAGGCTTCGACCTCGCGCATATCGCGCGGCGCAAGCTGCTTCAGGTCAGCAGTGCGTTGCTCACGGCGCAGCTGCGATGCAAAGAACGGGTTCCTGCCACTGATTGCCTGCCTTGCTACTAAATATTATTGCTATTACTATTATTTTTCTTTATTAGTATGATGATGATTATTATTATTGTTATTATTATTATGATTTATTATTATTATTATTTCGTTACTATTTTTTATTATTATATTCATGACCATGAGAATCCCTGCTGCATCAAAAAGAAAAAACAAAGACTTAGTGCCAAGTCACTGCTGCAAGTCAAGAGGACTTGCAAAGATGAACGTGCCACTGTACACCATGGGTCGAAGGTCACGCGCGTCCGTTTTCTCCTTGAACAGAACGTGGTAGCTCCAATCACAATTATGGTTTCCTGCTGTGAAAATCTTCTCGAGGATGGCGCGCTCATCGATGCACAACTTTCCACGCTGGTGTGAAAAAATTGGCACCATCATCAGACCAACACTGCGCATTTGGTCCGACAGTGCCCAGGACATCAGCGCCAGCTGCTGGCCCATCACAGCTGATGGAATCAAACAAGGCGCTGATGCATTGAGCCACAGCACGTACGAAATGTCTTCCAGCTTCGCACCTGAGCGGGCTGCCAGAGCCTTCTTGAGATTCATCACATCTGCGATGGCCAGTTCGGTCTTCTTCTTTTCCCAGACACTGAAGGCCATGCTCGATTTGATGAAATGCCTCGCTGCTTCTTGGCACCGCTTCCTGCGGTCCAAGCGCCACTGATATTTGGCTGCTTCAGCCGCAACCTTCAGTGATGCACACTTGCTGCGCCAAGTTTGCCACACGGTGACATCATAGTTGAGCTGCTTGATAAGCAGGTTGAACCGATCCACAACAATGGTCAACTCGGCTTCCGGTGTGGCGCCGACAGGCTTTGAAAAAGACAGTTCATCAGCCAAGCGCTGCAGCGTGGGGATGTCGGTGCGAATGTTGAAAGAAACCGGCTTATCAAGCAAAACCGCCTGAAGCTCATCATTCACTGGGCCCTCTCCATCGGCAAAATTGTCATACCAAGCTTCCTTCAACTTTGCAGCACAGACAGGAACGGTTGTCAGTAGCTCCTGCCCCAAATGCCAGCAAGCTGCTGCTCGCATAGAAGCTGCTTCCACCTGGTCCACATCTGGCTTTTTTGGCTGTGCAACCTTCAATTTCTGAACCCGGGTGTTTTGTAGATGGGAGATGCACAGGCTCATGGACTTATCGGTTGTCCTGGACAGAAGATGTCAAGCCCGTCGTTCTTTGGGGGTGACCTGGTGATCCCAACCATACGGCAGTTTTTCAACTCAACCATTGAAAATACACGCATTCTGTCTGACCACTGTCGGACATACCGCTCATTTCGGGCAATGGTCGGACATTAATAAGTCCCGCATTTACTTTTTAATAATTACTCCATGTGTGATGATGTTTTCTGACGGTTGCCCAGGTCCATCATCTGACGTTTTAGCAAAGCTTTAATATGATATGTCATCTAGTTGACTTTTAAAACAGTTACATATATCTTACTATTAAGTCAGTCATTTTGAAAAGCCGGCCAAAAGGATTCCCTATGGCGACGTGATTGCCGGGCTTGTAAGTGTGCCCGCTTTGAACGCGAAGAAAGCTGCTTCTCAATGAATAACATCAAGCTCAAAATGAAACCACAAAAAGCATTCTCCTCAACCGACTCTGCCACTGCCCTTTGGCCGGAAAGTTCCAGTTTGGATACAGTTTCTTGGATGCCAAAGAATCATCTGACCACGTGCAGAGATCCCACGAAACCGTCTGGACATGCTGCAAAATTGCGTCGAGGACATCCTAAAGGGACCAAGATGATGAAATCATGTTGGATGCTGGATCAAGCCATCATGTGTCAATTAATCAGTTTAAAACAATGGATATTAAGACCTATATTATATGACTTATAAGATCATCCAGTCTGCGATTCTCCATGCTCAGTTCCGCCGTCCTGCGGTGCCACCTCGAACAGAAGTTTCAGAGCCATTTGCCGACGCCCTGTGATCTGAAAGGCTTTTGATGACATGCTGTTCCATTGCCGCACAAATAATGACCAGTCCTGCAATCCACCGACCCGCATCAAATTCCGGATGACAAACACTGACTGCACCGTGTTGTGAGCCGTCCGAAGCGAGTGCCTCGCTGATATTTTCATGTTGGCGAGGGCTTCCTCCACTCGGGAGACTTGATGAACGCAATGCAAGTAAATTTTCCGGACTGACCGATATAAATGTGGAAGCTTCTCAGCCAATTTCACACCGGAAACTCTCACACAGTGTAAGAGCATCAGCAGTGTTGTGGATCGGCCAAAACCTTTGAGGTAACTGAGATTGAAGGCTTTCAGCACCCTGTCAGGTCGGCCATAGCACCATGGCGGTGCAACATCACCAAACAGGCACACGTCAGAAGGATGCTGCATAGCATATAGAGGTTGGTCGCCTGTCACAAAGCCTTCCACTAGGTATAGCTCTGCCATACGCAAAGCCAACTCTGATCCACACGGTGGCTTGAGGGTGCAGTCCTTGGTGAAACCCAAGGCACTCACATGGACTATCAATGGAAGGCTCTGCGACACCTCTTCTTCCGTCACACTTGGCAAAGCTGCTTGGTAGCTAAAGACTGCATCTTCTGCCTCTGGGAATTCGTCCCACAACCAAGTCATGAAATCCTGGTAAGACTCTTTAGTCTCCAGCACCTTGGTCAAGTACTGGCTCGGGCCACCAAAGTGATGCAGGGCCTGCTCCATGGAAGCCAAGAGCTGAATCTTGACATCTTCTGATTCGCAAGTCGCTCCAGCAGGGGTCGGAGTAACTGCTGCAGACATCTGAGAGTCTTCGTCAGCCATGGCGCTCAAAAGTCACAATCAAAAAAGTTGTTGCTAACTGCAAGCCACTCACAGCAGCAATGAGGCATTGTCGATTTCCACAGTCTGTCTTCTTTGGTCGAAATCATATCTTGGCAAATCTTAGAATGCGATTGTGTCAGGTTAAAGGTCTAAGTCAGTCAGTCACTTAATTCCAAAATGGTGTTAACCGCTCTGATTTTCAGACCTAAGCTGCCGTAGCCAATCGCCGGGCTTCAAAATTCCGCAGCCAAAATCAAAACACATTTTAAGCTGTTATGGTATAGACAATGTCAGACCCTCAGACTTTGGGCCCGCAGAATGACCCAATTATCTGACAACGGCAACCGAAGAACTAACACCTGAGTCAAGATTTGGCGCGATTTTGAAAATAATCTCTGGCAGAATTTGGGATGGGGGGAGCTGCGGCTAGGGATTTTGGCGCGGGTTCCGTGGAATCTGTGCCAACTCGGACATTTTGAGAGACCCGCTGTCTTCAGAAAATTCAATTATCTGCCAACTGACCCCCCCAAAATCCTACCCCCCAGTTGGCCCAGGTTCCGTGGAACCTGAGGCAACTAGGGGTCAAACGGATGAAGTCTGCCAACTCGGGGTTGGAAATTTGACCCCCCCAGATGGCGCATTTCGGCCGTAGACCCCTGATATGGCGCAGGTTCCGTGGAACCTGAGCCAACTCAGGGTTGTAAAATCACCCCCCCCTGTTGGCGGGATTTTGACAAATCGGGCAAATAATTGGGACAAATTGGGGGAGGGGGGAAAGTTGCCACAGGCAGCAGTCTAGGGCATAGTGACCAAACAAAGTATTGTTACCAAACACGAAGTTGCCAACCAAATCACCAACATCAATGGGACAAATTACTATTTCTGATAGAAAACTGCCCTGCTTTCCAATCGATTTCCACATGCAAAATATGGCATCATAGTGTGCTTCACATAAAGACGCTGGACTTCCAAATCGGGGGTGACAAAAAAATATCACAACATGTTTCTTGCTTTCAGTTAAAAAATTAAGTAGTAGAATTTTAGTCCTCAAAATTCAAAAACAACAAATTGGGCCGCTGAGGAAACACATTGGCCAGCTAGCTAGCCTCAATGTTCTAGTCGTGTTCCTACCATGACATTTCTGAATGAATGATAAAAATCGCGCATCTCGGACAGCGTGTTGCTGGTTAGAGGTTTAAATTTGAAATATGCTGTCTGACAGGTGCACTGCAGAATGGTGTGAGGATACCGAGCTGAGCTGAGTAACTGACTGACGAGCAAGCTGATTCGATGACCAAAGGAACGATGACCAAATACGCGAACCATGATGGCGAGCAAGCCCGCCTTATTATTAATAAACAGCGTTGTGGATAAGGCTGCAAATTTTTGGCACACACTGTCAAGGGCCGCCACCTATCATCATTTCGTGACATCGAATTAACCTGCGTCGTCAAGGCAGGAAGCTAAAACATCACAGAGAGCTGGCGGATAAACCTGACACCAGCGGCTCAAGCGATGACTCAGCTGGCTTCCTTCTATGCGTCGATGCACATGATCTCTTGTGCACTGCCGGTTTTTGAGCAAGCCACAGAGCCGAGGATCATTTGTCATGATGATGGTCCTCTTCTTGATGGGTTCCAGCATGGGACTTGTCATGCCAAAAGCACACATGTCGAAAGATATGCAGCGGACATTTGGCAGGTTCTTGATTTCTTCAACGCAGGGAAGCTTCCACGAGGTGGCTCTTGCTGGGTGCTCAAACATGAATCGTTGGCCTTTCGCCACTTGAATCCGAATGGCCCGCATACAGTGCTCGACCCAGTCGACTGCTTGTTGCCACCGGCGGTCCCACACAGCTTGGCTCATCCGATGCTTGTTCCACATAGTTTGCAGAGAGCTGAACATTGTGCATGGAGGGCTCAGGTACAAAAATGCCACTGTAAGTCCCTGCAGAATTTGGCAACTCAAATCTTTCAGTTCCGGAAGGTCAAAATTCCATCCTGTCAAGATGTCGAGGGACAGAAAACCGAGAGTCATGACGACACTCAAAGCGCAACTCCTTGCTGCCCGTGCTGTCAACACCCTTGGAGGACTGTAAAGTTCGAGACCCAAAGTCAAGTTTGCGGCTGCTTTGCTGGTTCCCGTGCGCAGCCATTGGCGGATCTCCTCTGGAGACGGCACTTTTGCCTTAGTTGTCAAAGCAGCTCTAGGGCTAGGACAATCTTCCATGTCGATATCTGATTCTGCTGAAGGTACAGGTGGCAATTCGTCTATGGAATCGGTGACGCTTTCGGGCAATGTCTCAGCATCCGAATCCGAAACTTGGCGGTCGTCCATCAGCTCCTGGCTCTCGTCTATCTCAGGTGGCAAGCTGCAGCACGATGATGGCAGCTGCTCGTCAACATCTGATGGCAATGAGGGGCCGGACATGCTGACAATGAATTATTAATATTATTGATTGATTTTTGACCGTGGTATGTTTGTTCCTGAAGTTCTTGAAACTGACTGACTGGCTTCCTGTCTCTGCTAATTTAATTGTTAGCTATTTAATTAAGTGACACGCGCGCTTGGTCAGAAAGACGCGGCCGCTCTCAGCTTTTGGGATTGACTCTTCCCCGGCCGCAGCCTATTTTGAAATATTTTTCTATTTCCCAAACAAAGCCGCCTCAATCTCATAATTTCATAATTCAAGTCAGCAAGCCGACTTCAAACGGTTAGGAAAAATTAATTTAATTCAAGTCAGCAAGCCGGCTTCAAAGCGTCAGCAACATTTAATCTTGACTATGGTGTCAGCAATTAGAAAAAAGAAAGACAATCACAAACGGAAGAACAATGATAATCACAGCGAAGATAAACTTAGTGACCATTAACAATAATAACGCTACGACCACTACTATTATAATCATAGTACTGCTACTACTACTACGACTACGACGACGACGACGACGACGACTACTACTACTAGTACTACAACTACTATTACCACCACCACTATCACTATCACTAACCGCAATAATTAATAATACGCTACCAAAAATAAATGTAACAATAACAAGTCTCATAAAATGGTCGGCAAGCCGACTTCAAAATGTTTTGTTAATTTTTTTGGTGTCCACATTTAGATCTTCATTTAATATGATCTTGTCCACTGTGAAAATCATTTCAATCCAGTCAGCAAGCTGACCTGATACTATTTTTTGACCATGAAGGCAGGGCTGGCACTTGGTGGAATCACGCCGCGTCTTGTGGGACTTTGCGCACAACGCTGCCATTGAGCCATTGGAATCCCTTTTCTTGGTTGTCTGCAAACTTCTTACACCGGGCGCATCCATGCGCTGCTTTCTTGCACTTGGAACAACCGAAATGATCAAAACCATCTGGCAACTCAGGTTTCTGCCCACGGCCCCGTGGCCTGGGTCCTGGTTCTGATTCTTCTGCATGGCGTCGCGTTGCTGGGCCTGGTGCTGCAGCAGGGCGTCGCATGACTGCCTCTGGGGCGGCCGCATCGCCTGATTTTGACATCAGAATCCATGTCATGATCATGGCGTCAGGCTCTGAAAGTAAGTTAAGTCTGAAATTCAAATTAAATTAATAAAATAAAAAAATCGCTTCCATGCAGGGAACCTGGGCTCGCAGGTGGCTCTGGAGGAGGGGCCGCCAGTGGACCTGGCGCTGCTGCTGCTGCTGCTGCTGCGGCTACTTCATCCCCGTCTGCTCCTGCTGCTTCTGCTGGTCCACGCGCAGCAGCCGCCGCTGCTGCTGCAGGGCGACGCATGACAACCCGTCGCCCTAGTTGACAGGCAGGAGCAGATGGCCGCTTCAAGGCTTTGCGCTTCGGTCGCAGCACGCGCACATTCCTGGGTGCAGGTGGGTCTGCTGCAGGTTCCGCAGCATCCAAGACCACTTCCTCCATGTCCACGGACAGCGGCAGCAGCGACTCCTTTGGGTGGAAAAGATGCACCAAAGGAACTGGATCGGGAAACGCCCGAGATTGATTTTGCTCGCAAAAGCTTTCCAACCAGGCCTGAGTTTTCAGCAACTGCCAGGGTTCTTGGGCAAATGTATTTGCTGTCTTCAAGAATTCCTGCAAAGTTTTCTCTGGCATCAAGTTTGTCTCGGAGGCTTTCAAGGCCGATGGATCCAGTCGTTCTTTAGCGAGCTTGAACGGCAAAAACCTGATTGTCCGAAATTGACTAAGGGCAAAATCAGAAAGTGAATCCATTAGAGGTCATGGGGAAAAAAAAAGGCCAGATAAATTATTATGAAAGTCACAGCTGTGGCTTCTGAGACCAATTTGGAGATGATATGAACTGCTTGACCCGCAGAATGACATCTTCATGATGCTGCTCGAGGCCTTGCCAATCAGGGTGGTGGCACTCAACGTCCTGCTCGGTCACAAAGAGACGGCTCTCAAATCTCCAAACGTGGTTGGCGTAGGGCTGCACATGTGTACTGGTCAAGCCTTCAACGTGCAAGCCCACCTGGCCCATCCAATCCTTGAAGTTCCATGTGTTTGTCACAGCCTCAACCTTCAAGGAGCGGCCGCAGGATGCCTTCATGTGATTGGTCATCCATGCGCACAAATCATCAGGGTCCTGCAAGCAGTCCGCTGACTTGATGAGTGACGCTAAGCTGCTAAAGCGTTGATCCAGCTCATTATGCGTGTGATCCACTTGGAGAAATTCGCATTGCACAGATTTGAAAAGTCGACGATGCACCAGGTATGATAAAAACGATGCGAAGTGTGAATTCTTCGCTTCTCGTGGTGTATTATCACAACTGATGCACAGATGCGCTGGAAAACCGTAGGCATCACCCAGGTCTGTCAGCTGGCATGCAATCAAATCCAGCAGCCGAGCCAAAATGGTGCAGTTCATTGAGGCATCCTTGGGCGTGTCCGCGGCCATGATGCCGTACCACTCCAGGCGGCCGTGGACGATGCCGCCGCTGATGTGCATGCATGGTCGCCATGTTTTCGCCAATGCACTTGTGCCAACGAGGCGCTTCACACGCGGAAGCGCGAACTTCGATTGGTCCATTCCATCAATCAGCACTTTCATCACCTGGTCATCATTTTCAGATTTCAAAAAGACAGACTCCTTTGCCGCACGCTTAGCTCCTCTTTCTGCAGCTCGGCGGTCTGACATCACAACATCGAGGTGGCTTTTCTTTTCCCTGTCTATTTCGGCCCTTTCAGCGGAGTCTGCTGCAGCTGTTCTCCTCTCTGACAAACTGGCACAGATTGTGCATTTACTTTGAGCACCGGCATTTTTGAAGGGCAAAAAACTTTGCCAACTTTGCCACCCTTTCTTGAAGGTGCTGCGGCTCACTTGTAAATCCAATGCCTCATCTTGCTTGTAAAATTGGAAGAGGCTAGCGAAAGAATCGAAATTCAAATAGCGCTTTGGCACCTTCAAACCCCTCACGCGGTGCCCCACCTGGTCCGCATTGATGGTGTTCAAGTACAGTGGATGGTTGATGTCAGTCAACTCTTCGCACTGAACACGGGGGTCATTGTCATCCTCGACAACCACTGCATCGCCGCTTCCAGGAACAGCTAGTGGCTCTGCTAAGTCCCGGTACAGAGTTAGGAACCAGGCATCAAGGGTGTTGCTTGCGGGAGTTGCGCGCCCCATTCTTGGAGCTCTGGGTGGAAGCTGGCTGTGCCCGTTTTTGGCTAGGATCACCATATTGTCAAGGGCACCATGGCCAACACCATGGGTTGCCTCCCAAAATTTTCGGCACACTGCCTGGCCTAGAAAGGTCCACTGAAAACACGTGGTGCCCTGCTCTTCGGATTGCCTGGCAACATTCCTGACAGCTTCAAAAACTTTTTGCAGGCGATATCCTTGAGATAATCTGTCTAAATCCATTTTGTATTGCACCAAGGCATCTTTCTCAAACTTGGTCCTGCAGTTGCCGCGTTTACAGCAAGAAATGGTGGGCTCTTCCTCATTGACTGAAGGTGGCAAGCTATCATCATCAGAGTGAAGCTCCGCGTCACAGCCATCTTCGCAAACGCTTGGAGGAAGCGCCTCCTCCTCAGAATCCATGGCTTAGGTTTGCCCCAGTGCACCTAGACGAGCTGGGCTCTTGAAAAATGGATGCAACAGCCGAAGCTGTTTCAGTTGTTTTTTCTGCAACGCATGATGCTGCAATCATGGTGCCATCAGCTGTGAACATTTACGTCGAATGATGAAATGTTAGTTATTACCACCTTGTGAAAAAAGTTCGTCATGACAGGATCAGCCAGCGAGCCAGCTTGACAATGATATATAAGTATCTTGGCCAGCAAGCCAGCCTCAGGAAGCTTCATGCATGTCGATTTGCTGCCAAACACCAGTCTCCAGACACACATAAGGTCTCCTAAAAAGATTAGAAAGATCACAAACGGCTCTACGTCGAGCTTCGCAAGCCGCGGAAATCCCGGGCATAGATCCCGGAAGTAGCGTTTTGCTTCTAAACGGCTCTTGACAAGCTTCGAAGGACGCGCGCGCGCGCGCGCCGCGGAAATCCCGGGGCATAGATCCCGGAAGAAGCGTTTTGCTTCTAAACAGCTATACGACGAGCTTCGAAGCACGCGCGCGCGCGCTGCGGAAATCCCGGGCATAGATCCCGGAAGTAGTGTTTTGCTTCTGATTCTACACAATGAACTTATTTAGAGCTTCCAAGGACGCGCGCGCGCGCGCCGCGGAAATCCCGGGCATAGATCCCGGAAGTAGGGTTTTGCTTCTAAACGGATCTACGACGAGCTTCGAAGGACGCGCGCGCGCGCGCGCCGCGGAAATCCCGGGCATAGATCCCGGAAGTAGCGTTTTGCTTCTAAACCGGATTATTAGAGCTTCGAAGCACGCGCGCGCGCGCCGCGAAAATCCCGGGCATAGACTCCGGAAGTAGTCGTTTTGCTTCTAAAAAATTTAGAGCTTCGAAGGACGCGCGCGCGCGCGCCGCGGAAATCCCGGGCATAGATCCCGGAAGTAGCGTTTTGCTTCTAAACGGCTCTACAACGAGGGACGCGCGCGCGCGCGCCGCGGAAATCCCGGGGATGGATCCCGGAAGTAGTGTTTTGCTTCTAAACGACTCTACAACGAGCTTCGAAGGACGCGCGCGCGCGCGCCGCGGAAATCCCGGGGATGGATCCGGGAAGTAGTGTTTTGCTTCTAAACAAATTCAGAGCTTCCACGGACGCGCGCGCGCGCGCCGCGGAAATCCCGGGCATAGATCCCGGAAGTAACGTTTTGCTGATCCCGGAAATCGAAATGAAAGAAGTTTTTGAAAAAAATGACATGGACATGTATATGCCAATTAAGGCGATTAAGGTAATAGAACTTCATGTAGATGGAAATGGAAATCGAATTGGAAAGAGCAATTTAAGGTAATATAATTGCATTGGGCATTAGGAAATGGACATGGACAAACAGGAAAAAATCTGAAAATAGACGTCATTAGGCATTGGCAAATGCTCATGAACATGGACATGGACATGGAAAATTCGAAATCGGAAATGGAAGTGGACATGGAAATGGACATGAGAATGGAAAATGCAATGGATATGGAAATGGACATGGAAATGGGCATGAAAATTGATAATACAATTGCAAAGGGAAATGGAAATAGAAATGAACATGGAAAAATTACAAGTGGATATGGAAATGGACATGGAACTGGACATAGAAATGGACAGGAAACTAACATGAAAATTGGCATGTGGAAACACTTGGAAAAACTCACATCGGCATGTCATCTTTTGCCAGAGACATTGAGATGCATGCGTAATTAGCATGGACTTAAAATATTGAACATGAAAACCAAGAAGGCAAGGCATTTGAAACCGAAAATAACATGTCTGGACATATACTTTGCATGAAATCAGAAATGGAAAGGTACACGGTAGAAACAACAAGCTTGTGAATTATCACTGATAAAACAACACGTAGCAAGCAAACCATGTTCAATACAATGATGTTGTGCATGACATTTACTTGAAAGCTTCAAATATCAGCATTGAAAAAACACATTTCAAAATGTTAAAAAAACCTAGGCTGAGCGGCTGAACAAGTCTAAAATAAGAATAGCCTCAAAATAGCTTACTCTTATTGTGATGATAGCCTCACAGATAGCTATAATGACCTAAGAGGAGCCTTGGGGTGAAGGGCAAGCAAGCCTCAAACTTTTGAGTAATTTTTATGGCAAGCAAGCTCACCTAAAATGTTGAAAGCAACAGTATGGCAACAAACCTTGTTTGCTTAATACTGCATTTGTGAAGTTAAAGGTGACTAGACTTTCTGGCAGGCAAGCCCGCCTTTCTTCCACGTTGCGCGGGTGGCAACATATTTTCGAGCTGGCATTGCGGCAGTCTCACGGGGAGCCTGGGTTCAACTGCCCCTTGAGGGTCATGCGGGTGCTTGGTGGTGTGGCACACTGACACGTGTGTGCAGTAAGCCCACTAACATCAGATAGGCTTGCGCCACCACCACCGCTTGCTTGACTCATCCCGTCCTGTCACGTTGATGGTGGTCTCGACCTGTTCCAAAGAATCGAAATTCAAATAGCGCTTTGGTACCTTCAAACTCCTCACATGGTGGTTTGGCCACCTTCAAACTCCTCACATGGTGGTTTGGCCGATCCGTATTGATGGTGTTCAAGAAATGGATGTCTGTCAACTCTTCGGGGTCATCCTCGACAACCCCTGCATCGCCGCTTCCAGGAACAGCTAGTGGCTCTGCTAAGTCCCGATACAGAGTTAGGAACCAGACATCAAGGGTGTTGCTGGCGGGAGTTGTGTGCCCCTTTCTTGGAGCTCTGGGTGAAAGCTGGCTGTGCCCGTTTTTGGCTAGGCTCACCATATTGTCAAGGGCACCATGGCCAACGCCATGGGTTGCCTCCCAAAATTTTTGGCACACTGCCTGGCCTAGAAAGGTCCACTGAAAACACGTGGCGCTCTGCTCTTCGGATTGCCTGGCAACATTCCTGACAGCTTCAACATTTTGCAGGCGATATCCTTGAGAAAATCTGTCTAAATCCATTTTGTATTGCACCAAGGCATCTTTCTCAAACTTGGTCCTGCAGTTGCCGCGTTTACAGCAAGAAATGGTGGGCTCTTCCTCTGAAGGTGGCAAGCTCTCATTATCATCATCAGAGTGAAGCTCCGCGCCACAGTCATCTTCGCAAACGCTTGGGGGAAGCTCCTGAGAATCCATGGCTCAGGTTTGCCCCAATGCACCTAGACGAGCTCTCGAAAAATGGATGCAACACGAAGATTTTGTTTCAGTTGTTTTTTCTGCCACAGCATGATGCTGCAATCATTGTGCCATCAGCTGTGAACATTTACGTCGAAGGATGAAATGTTCGTTATTACACCTTGTGAAAAAAGTTCGTCACGACAGGATCAGCCAGCGAGCCAGCTTGACAATGATATATAAGTATCTTGGCCAGCAAGCCAGCCTCAGGAAGCTTCATGCATGTCGATTTGCTGCCAAACACCAGTCTCCAGACACATATAAGGTCTCCTAAAAAGATTAGAAAGATCACACACGGAGAAACGTCAGTCAGCTGAAGGAGCGTCCTTTGGCACCCGGTTAAAGTCTGTCTCATTCACTGGCGGTCCGCAGGTACACCCTTCACTAAACAGTCAAATTTCTCCTCACACACGTACAGGTGATTGGGTGTTGTGAACCGTGGTGGATCTAGGAGCCTCATCTCTCTGTCTAGGTGGACCAGTAAGTCCTCACACTGCAACTGGAGGTGACGTGCGTGAACCATGACCTTGGACAGGAAGCATGCCCTCAGACACAAAAAACTTGGCAATAAACTTCAGACTAGAGACAGGGGCATGAAGATTTTTCTTCTCAGCTGCAGCGGTCGGAATAGTACCCTGACCGATCTTCAGCATATAGTTCAGCACCAGGAGCCTCAAAATGGCAATCTTACATTACAGAGTACTGCAGACTGACTGGTGGACGCTATTGAAGACCCGTTGATTCAAGAAAATGATAGGTATTACCTTATAATATATAGATTTTGATGATGTCTCAATGGGAGCTGCAGCCAGAATAATAAATCACACTATTGACCTAGGAACATTGTGGTTCGTGTCTGGCCGGGTGGGTTGCCTCCACCTTCCAGGCGCACGTAGTCTGCAAACTCGTCCTTCCTGTTGTATTCCAGCATGAAGCTATCGTCGTGGCTTTGCACAAGGAGCATGATCTGACTGATAGCAGTAGCCGCTGGAGACCGGAGGTCCAGTTCCACGTAGGATTTCCCAGGAAGACGGGACACACAAAAATCGCACAGAGAATTAATACCTGCACGCGGCATGGGCAGCAGCGCAGCCGGTGGAGGCTTGGGAGCTGGTCTAGGAGGATGGGGCCATTGCGGATTCGGATTAAGATGGCTGCCGTGACCAAAAGGGACACCTGGATCAGCTCCAGATTCAGATTCAGCCAGATCTGGATCATCATCAGGCGTGGCCATCACATGGAAGCAGGCAGGCTGGTATGTCCAGGGAGGTAGCCACTGTATCTTGCGGAACAAAAGGCACAATCTTTCTCCTTTTGTGAAATCTTTCTTTGGCCAGCAAGCCAGCCTCAAAACCTAACATATCAGGAGGAATCCGATTGCGCATTAAAAAAAGAATTGACCGGCTTCGGCAAAGCGAAAGAACCAAAGGGCCAAGGAATACTATAAAGAGTTACTGAAATCAAGATAAATGAATAAATCAGACCTAGTCATGTCAAAGGGGCCTATGGCCAGCAAGCCGGCCTGAGGAAACAAACGAAACAGATAATCCGTTTTGAAATAATAGCTAAATGCCTGCAGCTGTTCTCATCCCAGCGGTAAGCAAATGCGACGGCTCGGAAAGTTGTGCCCCCATCTATGTTTGACCCTGACATACGGTTTTCGCTTTGGAAACCGTAGGCTGTGAAATTTCCCCAGTCCACAGTCAACTGTTGCCGTGCTCAACCAACAAGTGAAATTTTTCAGGACAGATGAAGAGTATGTTGGGAGGCACGAACACGGGTCCGGAATCCAGCGACACAGAGGTCCGATTGATCACAATGAGCTCCTCCACTTGGACTAGAAACTTGCGAGCAATCACATTCACCTCGGAATATTATGGTCGCGCGCACTGGACTCTTTTATCGTCTAGTTTCATTCAGGTCAGAATCTGAATTAATTAAATTAGTCGAAGTTAATTGTGATGCTGAGGAAGACACCAGTCTGTAAATCTTGTGTCCGCCAGGTTCCAATTTTTTCGCCACAGGCTTATTCGGAGAGATCACCACAAAGTTTCTCACAAACATCCTCATGTTTGCAGTGCTGAATTCTGAACCAGCCAATGATAACTACTAATTTGCGCTGAATGCTGTGCCGAAAACAAGACCTGGAGAGGCAATGAATTTCTTAAAACGATAATGTGATTCAGTGGAGGAACCCTTGCTTTGCTGTCTTTGGTTCGCTGGTCAGGATCACGCAATGTTCGGACACAACGTCGCACTTGTTCCAGGTGATGGTCACAACATCGTGGCACTGGTCACGCTCGGCCAACAGGTGATCCAAATAGGCGCCAAGAGTTGCGAATGCACTCATGCTGTCGTCATATTGTCTGCCGGGCAAGCAAAAACGGCGAATGAACGACATTATGGCCGTGGCTCGTGAATTGAGTCTGGTAAAGTGCTGCTCCCTGTCGGAAGAGTTCAAAGTCAAATTATTTATTATTTAAGGATTGGCCAGCAAGCTAGCCTCAAAATTTTGACAAGCCAGCGAGCCAGCTTCAATAATATATAGCGACCCTGAATTTATTTACAGACAAGGAAATAATTATATAAATATATGTCGCCCAGCGAGCGATTTTTTTGCGCTCACGCGCACTGTGCCCGGGACCACAGTTGCGCCTTGAAAATTGTCACGCGTCACAGCTTCCTGCGGATTGCATGTCGTTCGGAACAGTGAGCTCTTCGGGCCATGAAAGACGACCTCAGGGCTTAAGGATCATTATGATAACCCGCCAGGTCCAAGTATGAAAGGGCCGGGATTTAGGCTCCGGGTGTGTCAGCCAGCTTGTCAAGCCAGCTGCAACCGTGAATGGTAAATTAATCCCTGTTGTACATGGTATAGTCTGGAGGAAAAAGTAGGTTTTGTTTAGCAAAACATCGAACTGGACTGACTGGTTGCACTGTCCTGGCCTGCATGTGGACGCAGCACGAGACCAACATCAGTGAGCACCAAATATGCGTCAGACAACGTCTGGTGCAAGTGAGTCAAGCCATCCATCTCTGGCAACTGAAGCAGCTCTTTAATAAATTCTTGGACATCGGTGACATCTAGGGACATCTGCTGCAAACTGCCCCTTGATGCGCCGAGCAAGATGCTGTGCAGGAATCCAGCTGCTTTAGCTGGAGTGAGGACAGATTCCATTGGTAGATTCATCCCATTGTACTCTATACCATTTGCAACGAGCTGGCCCTTCGCAACAGCATGGCCAAATGCAACGAGTGGCTGCGTAAGAGATGACACCCCAATGCGACTGACAATTGTCCTGCAAAGCTCTTTGGCCTGCTCTGCAGGTTCAGGGCAGCCTCGGCTGATTTTTGCCAAAAAGAGCACTGTGCTTGACTCTTCCATGATGGCTGCGGGCGTTGGGAGGTCGGGCTTCGTTTTGAACCGCTGGGTGCAGGGGTGCGTTGATTTGTCAGGTAGGCAGCCACCTGGACTGGAGCAAGTCCATGTCAAACTTTAAATGTTTATTGTAAATGTCCCTTTACGCTTCGCACAATATGAAAAAAAGAAAGCCGGCTAGCCAGCCCTGAGATGTTCACTGTCACGTGGTGTTACTGTTACTGCAATCTGAATCTGTTATTATTACACCCCTCCCTCTCATTTTTGGTCGCTCCATTCCTGCACTGTCCCATCACAGTGACAGTTCCAGGAGCTAGGTTTAAAGTTGAAGTCAACTGCTGCTGCGGTGTGGTGTTCTACGCATCTGTGGCGACCCGGTCCAAAAGCAACCACTTCTCGGCCGGCAGCATCAAGGTGTTTGGTGGCACCCAAACTGGCTTGCTGTCACAGTCTGCAACTTCGAGTGGCATAGGGAAGCATGGGAGGGTTGGGACCTCGACACTGAGGTTCTTGCCCACCACAACGACCTGGGAATCGCCGGCGATGCAGCCGCATGGGGCTGGCCTATCATTATGCATCAGGACAATTTTTAAACATGTAACATTCTGATTGCAAGATTGATGTTGAAAACTGAGCAACGTAGTTGGGAAGATGAGGCCCATCCAGAGCTTTCAGCAGGTCGTCTGCATCAGTCACCAGCAGGTTGTGGATCAGCAACCTGTCTTGATTGACTTCTGACCCTCTACCTAAACATGCTGGTAAAATTCAAAATTTCGGCAAATGAAGTCAAGCAACGCAGCGGTCGTGGGATGATTTTGGTCAGGACGACTTTCGACCACCAATCCACCAACTTCAGGCTCGCGCCGCACCTTGGTGTAAGAAAAAGTCACTGCGTCCACAGTGGAAGGATCCGACAGCTTCCGGTCGATAAAGGCAGCAAGTTGGTTTCCAGATCGGCCAGCGCTGGCAGGGTCGTACTTGCGACTGGCCAGAGAAACTCGCTTGAAGTTCCAACGGCATGGGCCTGAAGCTGCCGGTGCTTGTGACCCTGACATTACCGAGTTAGCTATCAAAAATGGTGGCAGGCTACAGCAGTCAGCCAGGTTGAGCCTTCAAATCTTTGAGTGAAAATTGCAGATCTGTATATAGCGCGTGTTCCATGGCTAGACATTCGCAAAAACTGTGACATCACAGCCCAAAACTTATTATCATGGCAAGCAAGCTCACCTTAAAGCTAGCTTCAAATTTTGTGGCAAGCAAGCTCACCTCAAAAGAAGTACTTATGATGTGATGGAAGAGACTTCATGGTGAGCGAGCTCACCCTTTTGGCCTCGGTCAGTCAATTGGCAGCCTGGGTTTCGACTAGGACTAGTCGCTCTCCTCCTTGTCGTCAGTGTCGTCACGTTTGCGCTTGTTGGCTGTGGCTGCACCTGGTTCCGCTGGAATCTTCGGTGTCTCGGCTGGTGGCACCCCCTGGACACAGACCTGCGAGTTGTCCAGATTCATGGCGAAGCACTTCTTGACCCAAGTCTCCTCTATGCGGTCAGGGAATTCCTCAGAACGTCGGGGTGATAAAAATGTTAAAATGTGGATCAAGTTTTCAACCAGGTGATTTGGTCTGTTAATCAGCTTGGTCCTGGCCTCATGTCCCGTCTGTCCACTCCAGTGTTCAGGAAAAGAGTTTGAGAATCTGAGGAAGAAAGATGACTGCCATCATTGGAGAATTGACTGTTTCAAAAAATCAATGGGATTTATCTGTCAGACATGGGCTATACTAGAAAGCTTGAAATCTTTTACGGGAGGTTTTTCTTATTCTTTTGAGCTTGGAATCAAGTTTTTTATTTTGCCGAATCTGAACCTTCACCTAAGCCAGGGCTCTTCGAGCTTCTCCAGGACCCATGTGCCCATTAATTGCGAGGACCATTCTTTCTTCCATTCCCTCGTGAAACGCTCACGGGTGACATGTTGCTGGTGGTTCATCTTCAGGGCGAGCAGGGAACTGACTAACTGCTTTGGGCCAAAACCTTGAGATATTTTAAACACAATTGCCATGACCATGTTATTATATTATGATTTGGTGTTGCTTTGTGGCAAGCAAGCTCACCTCAAATATTGAAACTTTGAGGTGTAGGTAAACAATCGTTATCATGGCAAGCAAGCTCACCTTAAATGTATGGCAAGCAAGCTCACCTTAAATGCTGAAAGCAAAAGGGGTATGGCAACAAACTTGTTAGCTCAACAAGGTACTGAAAAAGAAAAAAGTGAATTGGCTTTCTGGCAGGCAAGCCCGCCTTTCTTTCATGATACAGTGATGAGGGTGGCAAGGCATCATTTCTTTCTGTGGCCGTATTTCTGTGCATCTCTGGGGCTGGCATTATGCAGCATGGAGGTTAACCTGGGTTGAACCACCCCTGGAAGGTCATGCGGTCGCCAGGTGGTCTGCGGAACTTGGGCACGGTAGCTGTAAGCCCACACATCATCAGATAGTAGTCCTGCGCCATGGCCTGGCATTGCTTGAAGAGCCAGTAAAAGTTGTCATGGCATGCAAACACAAAATTTCCGCGTTCCATCATTCCATCCAAAATGAGATTCACAGAGGTCTCAAGATTCTCCAAAAAAATATTTTTCGCTGAAACTTCCCACATCTCAACCTTGTCGACCAGGCTATGTTCTTGTCTGCAGTGGGTATCAGCAACTGCCAAGAATGCATCATCTTCTGGCCATGGAAAGGGGTCTGGGCCAATGTGCTCGGTGTAGCTTTGGCCAAGGATCATTAAGCGTTCCACTTGTTCGAAGACCGTTTTCTGGTACGCGCAGCTTGCTAAGCTCCTCAGCTGCAAGCATGTCGACGCAATTACTTGAAAATGGTTGGAGCCAACTTCTAAGCGAGTCTCTGGCTTCAGCTGATCCAACTTGCGTCGGTATTCGCACATCATCTTTGAAAAAGCGGGCTACTTGCCTGTCTCTTTTGGGCCAAATATTGCATAATGTGTGATGGTGAACTCACGCTGATACTTCCAATCAGTCTCACCATGTTCCCCTGCCACATTGGGAAGCAATGTAGTGGACTGAAAATGATTGTTCCAACCATAGAAGAATATACCCATATGCAATGATTTATTAAATTCTTGTTAGCTATTGTAATTCTGTTACTGTTACTGCTAGGTGGAAAAGGCAGAACGCTTTGGGGAGATGTGGTAAGCAGATTGGTGTCCATTCAGCAAATGAGCCAGGCTCCAGCCAATGCCAGACTGGAGTCCATGGTTAATCAGAAATCAGCAGATTTCTCACAGAGAATGAACACCTACTTTAAAAAAACCAACACCTACTTTATAAGATTTTTCCTTATCGTCTTTCACCTGAGGAGTGGACTGCAGTTGAGCACGTTCAGGATCGACCTCATTCGGAAGTCGTTGCCCTCTTGGCCTGGTCTCCTTGACGTAAATTTCCCATCCATCCACGTCGACGGAGACGAGCACTTCTTCCATCTCTTCCCATTGAGGATTGTTCTCTGGCTGCGGATTGGCCAGCGATTCCTCGCGGCGCTTCTTCATTTCGGCCATTTCAATCAAAGCCTTGCATGACCGTAACCTGACGAGGTGGTATCCCAAAGCGCCGGCTTCAGAGTAGAAGCGGATCGACTGGAGTCGGTTGTGCTCGGTATTTTCCATATGTTGCCCATCGTAGCGGGTGGTGCACTTGATCAATGATGTGGCGTCCAGCACGCAAAGACCTCGCTTTCTGAGTGCTTCCGCCTCACGGATCATCTGGCGATCGTAGTCAGGATGGAGTCCATAGCCACGACCGTACCAAGGCATCACCAGGACGATGTTCCCAACGTCGGCACGCGTTGTCAGCTTCACAAGGTCATTGAGGGCAGTGAAGTGTGTGTTCACCCTCTCCTCCATGAGATTGTTTGCTGCGTCCCGGCGTTTCTGCGAGTAACACGCCATTTCCTGGTTTAACCAGTCGCAGTGGATGAAGCCGTAGTTTCCAAAGATATCATTCCCTGCGTAGGAAATGACAATGATGGCTGGGCGAGAGGTTCCCCTCCGCTGCAGGCAATCAAGAGAATGCTCGACTCCCTTGATGATATCCGGCAGCCCACGACCCCACTTGAGATCGTGCCAGACCGTCTTGCGGCCCGGTGGGAGGAGGTCCGGCTTCTCCTTGATGTACTCCCCGATGTTCCGGCGCATCGATGCAAACCCGCCGACCATGTCCACAAGTGCCAGTGAAGAATCCCCAGCAGCAAAAATGAAATTGGCCTCAGGTTCCCCTGGGCATACCATACCTCTCAATGAGAAGTTTGACACACCATCCAGGTGCATCTTCCGGGCTAACGTCACGAAGGTAGCCCTTGGCCAGCATGGAGTTATCCGCATGGCCCATCAGCGATGTGAGGTCGGAGATCACATCCGCCTCGTTCACGACCCGACACTGCGTGACCGAGCAAAAGATGCTCCCGGTCAACGCAAACCAAGGCCTTCCCATTTGGACCCAACGTGTCATCCGGTTCGGACGCCGGTCCCCCGGGTCGAATGCCAGCAGCCTCCGCGGCAGCGGAGTAGTCTGCCTCTTCCACCTCGGCTTCTGGGAATCGTCGATAGTAGGCCATTGTTGATGCGGTAGGTAGCGCAACAGCGCAGAGTGCGGTAGTAGTCGTCGATTTGAGTTTTGAGCTGGTCGCTGCAATGAAAGCTCGATGGATCATGTCCGTCATCTGAAAGGAGTACGTTTCAGTTTCTTTCAAATCATGACCTCTGCCTTGAACATGAGTATGACTCCCATCACAAGACAATCCATCAAATGCAGTGACAATTGAATCACAATCGGTTTGAATAGCCCATGGTTTCTTGATGGGTTCACCTTCTTTGTCAACAATGCCAACCATGCATCCATCAAATGAGACTCTAATGAGTTGATGTTTTCCACAAAACTTCTCAACTCGGTCAAACTTCCAATAAATGCAATGGGCTGGCCATTCAATGGCAATCTTTGGACTTAAATGACGAATAAGATTGAGAAAATCGACCATTGAAGACCATATCTTCTCAAAAACATGTCGGTGATATTCAACTTTGAGTTTGGCTGATTCATGTTGCAAGTTCACATATGACCATGTTGTGCCACCAGTGCATGGGATGCTAATCCAGATCAAGACAAGACAAGGTTGAATGGTTGAACTCTCAATTGCACGAACAACTTCATTTCTAATGTCCATTCTATTCGATCTAGACGTAACATCTGTCTCTCTCTCTCTCTCTTCCGTACATCTGATGACATAACAATCTTTTGAATACTTTCTCGATCGATCACCAAGCTTTGAATCAGGTCCGCAACCAAATTCAATGAGTACCCTGCTATGAGATGCCACTGAAGGGCAAGCAGGTTCCCCTGCGCGGTGCTGAGATCCCGACGCTGTTGAAGGTACAGGTTCCCCTGCGCAGGCTTTCATCTTTTGTCGCTCCTTCCGCGGAAGAGGCTGTGATGAAATACCCATCAATCGCAAAGCTGATTCCCACTTCTCGGAGTTTGTAAAAGGCTTGGTGAGAATGTCTGCCGCTTGTAGCGATGAACCAACATAGACAAGTCTGAAATGTTTCCGTTTGAATTGTTCAGACAACCATGACAAGTTCAGTCTTTGGGTTTTGTCAGTATGTCTAAATGACGGTGACCTTCCACTCTCAAGAATTCGAATGGTCGCTTGGTTGTCCTCAAGGAAAATGACCTCAAGACTACCGGGTCCTGCCATGTACACACTTTCATCCCCCCGCTTTTCAGATCCAATATACTTGAAATCAGTTAAAGCTGATCTTATTTCCCGTGACTCAACCCCGTAGTCCACTTCGTTCGGTCCAGGAATCCTGAAGACAGTTTTCCCAGTCCATTCAAAATCATTGACAACATCAGCATCAGGAGTCGTCCAATCCCATGTCAAATCAAATTCAACATCACCAGCTTTGGTTTTCGTGATGGTGTACCTTTGTCTTGCCAATCCCCGAAGGTTCACTGGACAATCCGAATCAATTGGGTTATACAGTTTATTCCGGGGTTTGACATGAACTCTGGCAACTTGGTTGGTAAATGGAATGTGCTCCCAATAGTCATCTTTTGTGTTTTTGGTGTTTTTGGCACGAGTTTCCACTCTGCAAAACTACCTTTGTTGAGTGCTATCTCCCCCCGCGTGACGTATGACTGACCACAGGCAGGGGGAAGGTAAACCAACAGCACGTAAAGCAAGGTTCGCCGCAGTGACTTCAGCCTCTGTTGATGACATAGCCGTTGAAGTCTGCTTCTTGGAAAAAGCTGTGAGTGGATAAAACGTATTGGGTCCTACTAATACAAGGAGGCAACCACTTGTTGAACGATTGTCATGTTCCCCAGCATGATCTGAATCTGCAAATAACCAAGTCTTGCAAGCCTCAGGTGGATCCCCAATGAAGCCCACCATTGTACGATCAATAGTGGTGTGTATGTAACACATTAATCGATGGAAACTTTTGTCGCAATCGGGTGACCATTTTGTAACCCTACTTGCTAAACCCTGAGTAGCACGGAGAAGATCAAACCTAGCCATTCGTGCTGCGAACAACACTTTCATCAACACACGTGATGCAATGGGCTGGAGTTCCCCCCGAGCTTCTGCTTCATCCATGATTGGACGAGCAATCTTGTCATCTGGGAAAGGAGTTGAAACTTTCTTGAACTTCACATTTGGTCCTGCTAGTTCAATATAGCGATCAATACATTGTTGTAAGAATTGTCTCATGTCATATTCGACCGTGTTGACATTCTTTGTCATGCACTTGGATTTTTGTTGCCCAAGTTCATCAAGAAAAGTGAATCCTTGTGCCCTAGCTGCTTTCTTTGCTCCAGATTTGTCTCTTATCTTCTCAGCCGCTGCCAAAACTTTTGAAGGTTCATTGATTGACTTGTCCACGAAATAGGTTGATCCCGTCCACCAAAATGGAAGTCCAGTTGGGTTTTGAGATTCCATATCATGAATATAGTCTTTGGGTTCATCTTTACTCTGGCAAGGTTCACACACGGTTAGCCGGTGCGTTCCCGCCCGGAAAGACATGTTTTCCTTCGGCTTGTCCTGGAACTTCTTACGAGATTGCAGGCGATGATGAACACAAACTCCAAGCTCTGGCATGTGCTCCCAGTAGTCCTTTGTTCGGCGGGCCGGACTGGCTGGCTTACTAGAAGGATCTGGAATGCTTGCATCGAAGACGCGAGCAAATGGGTGAGCACCCACATCCAATTTGACATTCTGTTTGAATACATGTTCACATCCAAGGTATCTTCCTGCATCTTCAGGAGTATCCATGTCGATCTGAGAAGAAATGAGTTTCCACCCTTCATCAATGTTCTTGGATGGTCCTGACATCTTGAAGTCATCAACATATACACCAAGTAACAACTTCAACTTTGGATGCCAAAACATTGACGGCCAACATTCTGGATAAAGAGGATGAAATCCGACCGCGTACAAGGCTTTCTCACAATGACGTTGCCATAGACCCCCCGAATCGGGGTGACCATACAATGCCAAAATAAGAAGAACGACTGGATCTTTGAACACCCCAATCCATTCTTTGGGCCATCTGTTTCTAGGTAGTCTAATCCACGTTAAAATACCTTGCATCAATGCCTGGGTGTAAGCTTGTTTTCCATCACCTTGTGATGTCCGGTTCCCCGGCATGGAGCCATAAGCATCCAATGCTTTTCCTGCCTCCATGTTTGCCGGTGAACTTCCGAGCTCCGCGAACAAAGCAACATCTGCTGCCTCGTCCTTGACATTGTTTCCTTGAAACACGGTACGACCCTTAAACTTACGCATAGGGTCACCCTGCGGTAGCTCACTTCCCTTTTCGACACAAATCTCGAAGATCTTGCCTGCATGAACTTTGGTTTTGTTCTTGATGGCTTCCCTTGAAACATCATCCCATTCCCTAACAGTGGAATAATCCCATGCACCCTTACTAGTAAGGTTATTCCATTCCTTATCGAGTGCAGCTTGGGCAGCAGGAGTGTTGTTGATCTCCTTCTGTCCAACGGGTCTTGCCACGAGTGCATTGGAAAAATGAAAGCACATGAGCTCTGATTGATCCTTAAGCTTGTCTCGATGGCAATGGTTTCCACCATGCGGGCCCCCCGGATTAATGGTGACCGGCATTGCAGGAATGAAATCATCTGATTGATCAATGTTCTTGGGTTCAGGAACCGCTGAAGTGGCAAAACGATCAATAACCCTGTTGTACTTACGTTCTTTGGCAACTGCAGCATCATGCTTTTCAGTTGCTTCTTTCAACAAGGCTTCACGCCTAGCCCTTTCTCTAGCCGCTTTGGAGGCCCCCCGCCAAAGAAATGTTGGAATGTCCTTTGGTTTGGTGGAACCTTTGTATCGTCTTCCCTTAAAACCACTTGAGTCGTAGCAAGAAGGGTCATCCTTAGAGATATATTCCGATTTACCAGTTTTCGGATCAATAACTTCGATGTCATCTGATTCAAGTCCAGCTTCCCGCATCAACTGCTCAAATTCCTCTTCGCCCTCCACAGGTCCTGGCTCGACAGCTTTCCTCGGAGACACCAGGTCTTCGATTGTCTGAGCATCCATCTTCTTGGGATCTGGAGGAGCTTCAAGGCTAAGAGTTTCATATAAACCTTCCCTAATAGCCTTATATCTACCTTTCAATGGGTAACTGAATGGTCCATCAGGTACGGTAAGTTGGTTGGCACGAACAACTTGAACTGATTCATTGAATTCTTTCTCCACAAGGTCCTTCAATGATGCTACAAGAAATTCATTTCTCCAGATGAAACCTGGTTGCATGGAATACCCCAAAAAGATACCCGGATTTGACGTAGGATCAAAACGCAGATCTTTCTTGGGTTTCAACTTTGGTCCAGTCCAATAATCAATGCGAGCCCCAAAAGGAATGTTGGGTCCCTTGAACTTTTCCCCAAAACGAAGTTCCCAAGGGGATTTGATTTCGGGATGATCCTGGATGTTGTGTGCCATACACCAATGTCTTGCAGCATAATCCAATAAGAATGATGAAGCCCTGCCTGCTCAAGGTTAACTCTAGTCCCTTCGAGAACGGACCTGAGATTCCTCTCGGCAACTGCGTTCGACTTAGAAACATAAGCTACACTCGTATTCTGTCTCCACCCAACTTCCCGACAAGCGAGCTTGATGGATGGTGCAGCATCGGAGTAGAACACTCCCACTTCTTCACCGGGTGCAACAAAATGTCTAAAAGCTAAAACACAATCTTTGGCATGACTTCGAGCTGAAGGATAAATCCATCGGAAATTGGTGGCGACATCTTTCATGACCATAGCAACCCTGTCACCATCTATAGATTGTTCATTGGCATCCCTAGTCACAAGATGATCCCCAGTAATGTGATCCCCAAACTTGTTGGATTCCACAGTCAATGATTCTCCCTTACTGCGTTTGGTTGGTTTGTACATTTTAGCACATTTGCATGTTTCGCAGAAGGGGTTCTTTGGGGTGTGTGCCATCATGTGCCTAAGGGTCCTGGCCTCTTCGCGAAGTGCAGCTTCACTACGATCAACGGCTTTAGGTTCAGGTAGTTGAAGACGACCGTCAACTGGTTCTTCAAGAGCTTCGCCTTTGTCTTCCGAACCTTCCGTGACATCAGGCGTCATGGCCGCAGGAGGTCCTGGAGCAAGTTCACCAGGAAAGAACTCCTCAAGATCTTCGATGGCTTGTCCGGGAACTTCATCGTCATCAGCGATGGAAGCCTCATAAGGTTCTTCGACCTCTTCGACTTCATCCTCAGACTCAGTGCCAACGGCTGACATGCGAGACCTTCGAACAGGTGAGATGATGGGCTTGCCGTTCCCGGCAGCGGAGTCCCATGAAAATGGAATCCCTACCGCAGCGGGTACATGGCCATCTCTGGATGGTAGATAAGGAACGTAATCTTTAACTTCTAGTTTGATCTTAGTTCCATCTTTCTTCTTGAAATATGGGCGGCTAAAACTTTTCCAAACAAAATCCCATCCATCTTGAATACATCTCATCCCTACCGATATTACAGCCGGGGTATCAGGAAGAACATAAGGATGAACTTCTTTGTCGATGCAATCAATATGAACGGAAGCTTGTTGGTCAGCTGATTGAGATCCATTTGCAGTGATTAATTCAAGGGGTTCATGAGAGGGATACACAACTTCTTCGGGAATCATCTTACTGCAAACCAAGTCCTGTGCACTACCAGTGTCTGCAATCCATGCCATCTCAGCGGATGCATTACGCTGCTGGGACGGCATATGTCCTGGCAGGGCATTCAGGTCGGAACGGATGCAATGGCGACATCCGATATCAGTGTCACATTCAAAGCTGCATTTGCAAGATTTCCCATGCAACTCCCGAAAGACAGCTGATTGCAACATCTGTGCTGCAAGTATGGCATCACTTTCTCTTGCCTCGATCGTATCTTTACGAGTACGATCGTCCTTTGTGATGCGAACTGGATTGTGAGTTCGATGCTTGGCTTGGCAAGGATTCAAATTACAATTTTGCTCAATGGGAACTTCGAAGATTTCATCGTTGCCCCCAGATGAAACAGTGCGATTGGGTGTAACTGGCATGGCAAAATGCTGGTTGAAAAAGTGCGGAGAGGCGATGCCTTCCGGCACGCGATGAGTACTGGTCGAAGGGTTGACAACTGCGACCATCATCAGAGCGCGCATCAGGCAAACTGCAGCTGAGCTGACCCTTTGTCCTTGAGATTCTGAGAGCCCTTCGAGGAGTTGGAACCTCGACTCGACGACCTAGAGCGGTCGCCCTTCTTCTTGTTCTTCTTCTTCTTCTTCTTGTTCTGGCTCTTCCCACGCTTGCCATCTTTGGTAGATGGAGCTGCAGGCTTTGGAGGGTGTTGGAAAGCACAGTCATTACCACGTTGACATTTGCCTGCCTTCCAAAACTTACACACTTGATTCCTAGATCCTGGAGACAAAGACCGACTAGTGCCTCTTGACTTGGACCTGGACTTGCCTTTCTTGCCTCCGCCTTTCCCTTCGTCAGACTTTTCATGTTTATAACGGCAATCCTTTCCCCTAGTGCACTTCCCAGCCTGGAAGTCATAGCAAATGCCAGTGGGTTTGCCCGCAGACGAAGGTCTGGTGGGCGCAGGTGTGGCGTCTCTCTTGCCTGAAACTGACTTCTTGGTTGCCTGTCGCATCTTCTCAAGACGTCTCCTCTCAAGGTAATCCCTAGCAGCTTTCATGAGAAGCTCATAAGAGCGGTTGGGTTCCCCCTCGGGTGTGCGATCATACACGGCCAGATCATGAGAGAGAGGTTTGAAGGTCTTGATGGCGTTGTGAAAGTATGCTTGCTTCCACATCATGTCAGGCTCGGAAGTCATTCCAGCGATCACAGCGTCCCATCGAGTGATGAAACCTCTGAGATCATCATTGACTAAGGTAACAGCCATGAGGTCCTCGATGTCGTACACTGCACCATGTTTCCTACTCGTACTAAAGTGCTTGTGAATCATGAGCAATGCTTGACGTCCCCTAGCTGGTGTCCCTGACTTGGCTTGTTCCTCCTTAAAAATGTCAAGTTGCCGTGCAAAGTCCCCTTCGCAGATGTTGGTGAGCGAAGGCATGAGCTTTGCGTCAAGGGTCACGAATTTACCTGAGTCCTTCAAGGCTTCGACGGACTGATCTGTGTTGAAAACTTCTTCAACCCATTGGAAGGCTAGGTCAGGTTTAGCTGAAGCAGCTATGATGGCATCCCTTACTCGGATTCTCCAATTCCTATAATTTTCGGGTTGAGGGAACTTAGGAACTAGGATCCTATCAGACTCTTTGGCCTTGTTCTCAGTAGTCCTAGAACGTTCTAAGGCCCTCTTGGCCTTTCGTGCAAAGGAACTCTCAGAATCCGAACTGGACGTGGTAGGCGATGAAGACGATGAAGGAGAGGAAGATGGATCCCGACGACGTCGGCGTCTGGATCGGCCGCGACTTGTTTTGCGACCTTTCTTCATGTCCTTCTTGTTCTTGCGATCTTTCTTGTCGTTGATGTCATCATCATCGTCATCCGAAGGTCCACCACCAGGCAATCCTGGCGGCTTCGAAGGGTCTGCCAAGAAGTGCTCATCATCTGCATCAGATGAGTGCTTGGGCTTCTTGTCACCCGAACCAAGCTCTTCAATGGTTGGTCTCGATGATTGCGAAGTCTTCTGAACGTGAGGTCCTGGTCCATAATGGATTTCAAGTCCAGGAGTTCCCTCCAGAGGTTGAGATTTTAAATTTCGGATTAACTGTTTCTGCTCTCTCCGAAGCTTTTCAATCTCTGCCTCAAAGTCCTTCTTTTGAGATTCGGCCAACCTTCGCATGTTCAGTGCATGTTGATTCATAGCATCGATTTGAGTGCGGTACTCTGCAAGTTCCGAACGGGCTGCCTGCAGGTCAGCATTCGACTTCTCTGCAGACGATGTCAAGATACCTGCACTGTTGACTACGTGATTCAGTTCGGCACTCAATTCCTTGATGCGATGATCCTGCGCTTGAACCTGCAGGTGGGCAGATTTCTGCTCGCTCATCGCCTGGGCGGCTTGCTCATTCAACAAAAGGTTCTTTCTGGAAATCTCGTCGGCTGCTCTTTGTTCGATGCTTGCAAGTTGATCTCGAGCTTCACTCACAAGCGCATTCCTTTGACGTTCCATTACCTCAGAGTGAAGTGCATTGGCCTCGCTCTGAAATGCCTGCTGTTGCGCAGCCATCAGTTGACTTGCCATGGTTGGATCAACACCTTGCTGTACCACTGCCACGTGGGCGGTACGGTGATCAATGTTGTTGAAGTTGATGGTGTTGAGTTGACTGATATCAATATTCGAGTCCAAAACTCCTGGCATGTCTCTGCGTGGATCGTAACGGCATGGGTCAAAGTCCTCTTCCTGGTAACTCATGTCACCTTCTGTAGTTGCCGCGCCTGAATGGATTACCACTTCTTCCGGTTGTGTAGTGTTCACCAGTGCCAAAGCAGCCGTGGCGTTCCCGCCCGGGGCAGGGAGCGCTGGGGGAGTAGACATGGCGAAAACTAGGAGGTAAGAGCGAAAAGTGTGAGACGAAAGGAAACCAGCGATCGCTTGGCGATACGGCTGATAACCTGTAGAAACTAGGTTAAAGCCTAGATTAGCCACAAAAGATAGTACACCTGCAAAGCACCTTTTACTTGAGCCAAGCCACACGAAGTTAGGGTGAAAAGCTAATGTATGTACTAGGACTGTGCAACAACAAAATATTATAACTATGGATTGAAAATACATTAGTTTTGAATGAATATGTGAGTAAAAACACTGAAAATGTGAAAATGTTGGAGGCAAGGGAATGGTGGATGTGATTGTGAACATTACCGTAGCTTCAGACCAACCCAAACGGCCAGGAAAAGTGGGAAACCATGGGAAACCAACAAAAAGTTGGACAGAAACTTGAATTGATGAAGCTGATGACACCAGCAGGAAGAAGGGAAAAACCGTGACCAAATTTGCCAACCAGTAAGCAACAAGTTTCAGGGCATCACTCACAAAATTTAGATGTGTAACATGTAGAATCGCCTTGAAAATGGGGTCTCTTACTTCTGATGTGCTTCTGCGTGTGTCACTGTGGAGGTCAAGAAGAAAATGCCCTGGAAATATGCTGCTTACCTATCAACCACTCATGGAGTTCGGGCGATATCTTGATGGTTGGAGATGAGAATGGGACACAATGGGTTCTCAACACCAAGTGATATGCAGTGGTCATGCTGCCAACAGAATCACTCCTGCCTAGGGGTGCCCCGCGCGCCTGAAAAACATGGGTGGCTGTCGCATCTTGTCCACATTGAATTCGGATGGCACCCTTGTTCCTTGAGAGAAGGGAGTCTTCTCCGCGTGGGTATGTCACAAAAATTCAGCGGCCGGAACACTTTCAAATCCATCTATATAATCGATTGATTCGGATAGGAAACCAATTTCTTTGGGTCTCCTAAGTCTTGACAAGAGCAATTTCAATACAAAGCACCAACAACTGGGATCTCTAAACCACGAATTTGGTGGATTAAATCACAATTAGGATAGCCCCTTTCATGATTGCATTTTGGGATTTGAAGTCGAGGTTTGGCCGGTGGATTATAAGGAAAACCTTGGATTTGCATGGGTTTACCCTGATCTAACAGCCAAACATGCTAGTTTGCTGACCAATAATCGGAGACCGATTGCGAAACTTACCCACAAAAAAGATCTAAAATCTCCTGCATACAATCTTGTTGCTTGGGATAAAATAACTAGGCCCAAGAATTGTTTTGGTCATTCATAAAGTGGAAGAAGGCACAATTTGGAAGTTACATCCTATGAATATGGTATGGTTGCCTTTTTGCGCTGTTTAATCTATAGATGTGTGTGTGCATGTGTCTGTGTGTGTGTGCATGTGTCTGTGTGTGTGCCTGTGTGCGCGCGCATAAATGCATATATACATAAACCACATACACATATACATGTATACATGTATACATGTATACATAGATATATATATATATATACATACATATATATATATACATATACACATGTATACATATAAACATATATACACATTTACAAACATAGATATATACATATATACATGTATACATATATACATGTATACATATATACATATTTACATACATATATACATATATACATATATACATATATATATATACATATATTCATATATACATATACATATAAACATGTATACATATATACAAATATACATATATACATATACAAGGAGGGGCCACAAGTACGACACTGGCTCATGCTGCCGAATCAGGCCCTTTTCTGTCCCCAACGAGTGTCCGGGGCGGGCCCAAAACCTGATTTGCAGAAATGGAAGCAACAAGCCGGAGAGGTATATGCAGAAGCACCGGCAGAAGCAAAGGCAACGAAATGCAATCAGAGGCAGAGGGATAGAAATCATCCATCATCCTCCCCCGTGCCCCTCTAAATCAATGTTGTTTTTCGTAGAATGGAGACTTGCTGGCATCGAAATATAGTACAGCGTCACTGCCACGGATCCAGGTCCAATGAAACAATCAACTTTGATTTCGGGGCGAGGGGTTTTTATATGGGTCTGGGTACTTTCTATGTTGCTGAACGAAAAATGTAACACGGATGGGCCAGTGAAGTCGGCTCCTTGAATATTCAATTAGGTGCAGTCAGCACACAGCTAGACACTCGGGAATCCTGCAGCAAGAAATGTTGCTACATTTTTCCCTCCAGAGAGTATGAACATGGTGAAGCAACATGGACATGTCCGGAAGCAGCACCAACAACGACACCAACAGCAAGAACAATCACAAGCAGCAAGAACAACAGTGACAGGAAGACAGCAGCAGCAACAGCCACCAGAAGCAACAGCAATCGGCAGCAGCAGCAGCAACCAGCAGAAGCAGCCAGGCCAGCAACAAACAACAGACAGCAGCAGCAACACCAGCAGCAGTAGCAGCAAGCAGCCACCACAAGCAAGCCAAGGGGCCGCTGCGTGTAGAGCTCGAGGTCGATGTAGGCACCTGCACAGGGCGACGATGGCAGGAAAACAAACGAGGGGAGAAACAGAGGAGAGATACAACAAGACAGGGACAAACACCACGAGGAGGACAAGACACAAGCGAAAGAAACGCAGGCACCCTAGCCACGGCCAGCCGCAACACTCAGGGCTCATCTCCCCCACAAGAATGAGAATTTGAGTGGCACCTGTCTCCTTGCGAAGGAGCCGATGAGGCCCATGGAGCCGCTGGAGCCAATGAGGCCGATGGAGCCGCTGGAGCCGATGAGGCCGATGGAGCCGAGCCGATGAGGCCGATGGACAGGCCGATGGACAGGCCGATGCACCAGGCAGGTTACAGCTACATGTATCGAGACACCTTAACCCATTCCACCTTGCCTACATGCACAAGAAATGGTGCCGCAAAATCGACGCCAACCGTCAATGGCACGCCCCCCCTAAGTGGAGATTCCTTACTTTCAGCCTTTCAGCTCTCAATTTCCGGGAAAGGGCCAACCACCTCCCCCAGTACTAAACTAGTACTAAAGTACATAGAACTCAGGTAGCCTAGGCTACCTTTCGTGAAAACACCCAAAGTGATTTCGGCACATGAAATTGGGATTGACGAAGAATGCACCGCGAGAAGAGACAAAAGACAAACCAAAAGAAAACCCGTCCACCCACCCAGCCCCTTGGCTTTCCAAAGAATCACTTTGATGACCCAATAAGCGGCTTTTTCCAAACGGGAGCAAGGATCGATCTTGACCTCAACGCCTTCGGCGTATGCATAGCTCACCTTCTGCTTTTGAAGAAAATGAGGACGATACCTGCTGCAGCTCAACCGCATCCTTTTCGGAAGCATGAATGCTGTAACCTCACTCAGCTGCGCGGCGAGCAATGAGCCAAGCCAGGTCACCCGTCGTTAAGCCTTGGGCTTTTTTCATGAGACGAGATCTGCGGCGAACCTGGCAGGAAAGATATTGACAGGCGCGCATGCAGTCACATGGCCTACGTTTGTTGACATGCATCTGTTGACAAGCTCAGGGCTCATCTCTCCCACAAGAATGGGAATTTGAGTGGCACCTGCCTCCTTGCGAATCTCTTTGGTCGATTCTTTCAGCTGCTGCTTCAGCACGGCCCTTGCTGCGCGTAAGGCTGGCATCTGGTCTTGTCCACGAGTGTGTGGTGCAGCTCCAGCTGGCACTGCAGCAGCTGGCGCAGCGGCAGCTGCATCATCCGACATGGTAAAAAGAGAAGTAGCTGAACCACTGTGGGTTCCAAACGCTTGCGGTTGTTGTGGCAAAAAGGCTGCAGAACCCATTTGTCATCCCAGCTGCCGTGATGCATTTCCTGGACCATCTGCGTTGCATGTGAAGATGTTTGGGTAGCTTTCTGGTATAGGTATCAAGAAACAGTATATAAATATCATATGATATCCTGTAGTGTTTATACTATCACAAGCTCGGCTTGGAACCATCGCTGATACAGGGCCTACATTTCCAGCCCCCTAAAATGAAACCCTGGAAGCTTCGAGGCCATGGGACCTCACAGTCTATTATATACATATATACATATATATATATAGCTATTTGCACGTGTGGGTGTGTATTTATAAATAAGTAAGCAAACATTACATATATATATATATATATGTGTGTGTGTCTGTCTGTCTGTCATGCATGCATGCATGCAATGCATTGCAGACATATGCCTACACGTATGTGTACACTACTAACCACTATTTTCTCCCACCGATTTTCCCTGGATTTGAACGTCAAGCAGCTGGGCGGGACAGCAAAGGAGCCACGGGTCACTGCCGGTGGCCACAGCACAAAGACCCAACTTGTTGGAGCCGGTGTCCAGGTGCAGGATCACCTGCAAAGCATACCATCTAAGCCGTTGGGAGGTCTTGGGACCAGGCTCATGGCCTCTATCTATCGATCTATCGATCTATCCATCTATCCATCTATCTATCTATCTATCTGTCTGTCTATCTATCTATCTGTCTTGTCTTGTCTGGCCTCATCTTACCTTGCCTTGCCTTGCCTTATCCCTTATCTTATCTTATCTTATCTATCTATTCATATTCATTAGGTATGCATGTATGTGTTTTATCTTCTTGGATTTATTGATTCTCAATGTTTACTCTTTGAACAGAAGAACAAAAAGAAGAATAAGAAGAAGAATAAGAAGAACATGAATCAATGTATAGAGGAACGCATGCAGCACACATGTTGCAATGATGCAACTGTAACTAAAATAGTACACCAACAAGCAGCGCGAAAAAGAACTACAGTAATGTGACAAACAAAACACTAAGCCAGCAATTGGGAACGGTTGCAATCCCACCCGTATCGGCCGTATCGTTGACTATACCGTATACCCCATTAGCGAAACTCATTTTTAACCTAGACGGCAGCCTTGACATCACCAGAAGTGTAGACGTAGATCACGTACTCACAGACCATCACGATGATGTCCTCGGCTCCGCTCTGGGAGCAGATCTACTTGAACTATGTTCAACTGACGTGAAGGAAACTTGTCCCGCGAAACCAAGGAATATATACCCCAAAATAAAGGGGGCTGGGTGCCAAGCCCCAGAACCAATTCTTGGAGTATTTGATGACTCCGATCAGCTATGACAGGTGGTAGCTCCACCCATCCAATGTTTTGCCATCATGTTCCTCGTTACAACTGCCTTTATTGGCGGTATTCTACAGTAGTAAACCCGAAATTACATTTTTGGGCGGTAAAAGGCCTATCTGTCTGTCTGCCTATCTATCGATCCACCCATCCATCCATCTTTCTGTGTGTACATGGGTTTCTCTCTCTCCATCGCCATCTCCGTGTACATTGGTTGATAATATAAATTTTCTTTGGCCCAAACCCACGGCTGTCTTCGGTGCCTTGTGCAAGGCCACGGATTTCACCTCGTTGCGGCAGCGTAGCTCTGCCACGACCTTCTGCTTGCGCTCCTCCCAGATTTGCACCTGGAGTCTGCAAAGTCACAAAGGATATGGGAAAGAATAATGCTATACATACATACCATACCATAGCAAAACATTGCAAACCATACCAAACCAAAGCATACCAAACCAAAGCATACCATAGCATAGCATACCATAGCACACCAGGGCATAGCATACCATGGCATAGCATACCATAGCATAGCATACCATAACATAGCATACCATAACATAGCATACCATAGCATAGCATACCATGCCATAAAATACCATAGAATAACATAGCAAACCATGTCATACCATAACATACAATAGCAAAGCGTGGCATACCGTTACATTGCATTAAGTTACATTACATTACCATGCATTACATTACATTACGGTATGTTACGTTACATTACATTATGTTACATTGCATCACATTATATACAGCACATTACATTAACAAAACATGACTTAACATGACATAACATAACATAACAAAAAAAAACTTACATTATATTACATTGCATCAAATTACATACGTGCATACAGAATCAAACCAAACCAAACCATACATAAAATAAAAAATATAACAAATCAAAACAAAACATACCATACCTTACCGTATCGTACCAAAACATTACATTACATTACGTTACATTACAGTACATTGCATTGCATTACAGTACATTACACTACATACATACATTACATACATAGATTACATACATACATTGCATACATTACATACATTACATACATTACATACATTACATACATTACATACATTACATACATTACATACATTACATACATTACATACATTACCTACATTACATACATTACATACATTACATACATTACATACATTACATACATTACATACATTACATACATTACATACATTACATACATTACATACACTACACTACACTACATTACACTGCACTACACTACATTACACTACACTACATTACATTACATACATACGTTATAATACATACCATTTTATACCATTACATACCTTTACATTACATTACATTACCATTACATTACATTACATTACCATACCATTACATTACATTACATTACATACATTACACACCATTACATACCATTGCATACCATTGCATACCAATACATACCATCATATTACATTACATTACATTATATTACATTACACATTACATACATTGCATACATACATTACATTACATACATTACATACATTACATGCACTACATACATTACATATACTACATGCGTGTGTGTGATCATTGGTTTTTCAATTCTCTCTCTCTCTCTCCACCTCCATCTCCGAGAATTTGTTGTTCAAAAAGTATACTGAATTATTTTGTTTGTTTTTCTCATTTAAAAAATATACATATGCGTGGTAGTAATGTTGCATGATATTTGACCATGTCCGGGTTGTAATGTTTGATACAATCATATGGGAATATGCGGTGATATATATATATATATATATATCATTATCTCTCTCCATCGCCTTCAGACCAAGTCTACCTCAGTATACATGTGTATTTGTCAAAACCCTTGTGCCCGAGTGAACTTCGAAACAGCTGGTACAACATGCGTTTGCTTCCAGATAGACATTAGGATTTTTGGTTTTCATCCGCCATATGACAATATATCACCAAACGATGGGGATAAACTGTTTGATGAATCCCTTTTCCCCCGATAGCACATCTTGACACAGCGTTGAGCATTCAGTCGCGCCTTGTTCATGCAACCAGGTGCTGGCTCCCCTGATGTTTCAAAGGTCTGGTCCACCATTGCAAAGATGCCTAGGCCGAGATTTATGATTTATGATCTTGGGTATCCCAAATCCAATTCTCAACAAAGGTATCAGGTATCGTTTTGGGAGTACTTTGACCAAGGGATTGGATTATTCGCAGATGACTGGTCTTGAAGAAAGGGGAATCCCAATTCCAAAGGATTAATCCTAGCTATACATGTTTGTCTGTTCCTTAAGGGCCATTTAGGTGTGAAATCCTGGGACCAACCCATGAATCTGATTAACCAACGAAACTGCAGAAAAAAACGCAAATCGTTTCCAAGTTCTTGACGTTTCCCTATGTGGATCCAAGATACTGCTTCGCATCAGCATGGCTACCCGCATCACAGAACTCCGTGGGTGGGGGTGCGGGTCGCGACGTAGGCGCTCTCTGATCGCCGTGCCATCCCCGTTGCTGTCGTCCTGGGCAACTTTGGTGCGAACATCACCCAGAAGTTGGTGGGTACTACCCATCAATTTCGGATCACTTTAAATTTGGAGGCTACCAAGATTTGGGTTTGTCCAACAGCCGTTTCAACTGGGGAAGTGATGGTCAATCTGATCAACCATGTGATTTTGGAGAACCTGATCCTTGGACAAAGGTACCTCACTAGCTTGCCTTGATGTCCAATGGATGGAAGTGTGCCTTGTTACCCTGTCCTTGTAGGTGTCCAAGCTGAAGACTCTAAAGCCTGCTGTGGTTCCACAAACGAAGCAGGAGGAGTCCTGCCACGGAAGTTGAATCTGTCCAATTCTAGGCAAAAGTTAAAAATTCTTCCGGGTTCTAACCTCATCTTTTAAGGAGCTCTTCATTTTCAAGAGTCTCAGCCAATTCGTTTTCCAAGTTTTTTGCGCTGTAGACTGTAGCAGTAGTAAACCAGGGTCCTGGTTGAATGAATAACACAGGAGGTACACATTTTCTCTCGAGGCCGTGGTGTCTGGCTCATAGCCACCCGAGCCACCCGTGTTTGTAGAGGCACCCGGCATCTCCGCCGCCGTAGCTTCCCCCGGTGCTGCCATGGATCTATGTACAAGCAGAAGCGGCTAAGGTTCCCCACAAACTCCGCAATGATATGATGCACGCATCTCGTGATGAGATTACACAATTTTCACATCACACAGTGACATACAGTGACTTTCAAACCTACCAATAATGTCAACATGCACAGGCTACGTGTGCTTTCTGAGCGTTACACACAACCCAAAAGCTGGAGAACATCCAATTCACAGAAGTAGAACCCTTGCTGCTCCTGAAGCCAATTTGCAGAATTCAAGTGGTGCTTCCAGGGTGCTGCATGGACCACTCATCAAAGTTACACTGTTTCGGTAAGGGCGTCCAAGAGCCCCACGCGCACGCCATGGTGTGCCTGCTGATTGAAGAACTGGAAGCACCGCCTGAATAGTTTCCAGCACCGCTTCAGAACTTACCTGCACCGAGGGAGAGAACATGTCTCACTGTGAACTACCTTCGTAGAAGGTGGAATCTAAGAGGTGGCCCAGGAAGACGCAATTTGACGTGGAACTCCAAAGTGGCACGAGCATCCAACTAAGTACCCCATTATCAAGGTTTCACTTCGCAAGTCCTCATGATCCATGAAATTATCTGTCAACTCATCCAACGACGTCTAGATGTCCAACTCACCACCAAACACTGGCCATGCAGCAGGGTGGGTATCCCTGCCTTGAACGCACCCCTTTTTTCAATACGTGATCACTTGACGCCTCTTCTGCAGAGTGTTTCCGCGAACTATCGCTGCAGAGAAGGTGAAAGCACCACTGTACAGGGAGCTCGTGCCCAAAAGATGGTTGGCAATGCCAGCTTTACTTTTGACCAGGAATACCGTGCGGAGGACACGACAGATTCGACTTCAACAAATGATCCAACATCCAGTCAGCCCATGAAATTTGTCAACCTTGCCAATTCGTGAAAACCACTGCGGCGACTCCGGTCAGGCTTGCAGATTTGCCCATCCTAAAGTGCAAGGAGCCTGTGACACAAAACAAGGCACTAAACCGCATGATGATACATCTCCAAGGTGAAATTGATCAAGTTTCGGATGATCTCTGCAAAAACGTCACTCACAGCCAGGATGTTTGTACTTATATTTTGGCTAAATTTGTGGGTGTGGTATCACCCATTCAGATTTGAAGCAAATTTCCAGAGCGTACAGCAGGGCATGGCCCAGTTGCATCCTGAATAATGTGGTACAGCCAATGAACCATCCCCAATTTCAGCAGAAATAGGTGACATCAACCCTCCAAATTTTGAGTTTTATGATTGGGTTTGCCACATTGCAGGTAATTCCATGTAAATCATCCCAACACATTTGAACGTGCAAGAAGCTCCCCAAGAAGGCAACCAAAGGTATCACAGGCTCAGGAACAGCGGAATCTTCAAAGGGCGGCAATGAGCAACCAAGCGCAATGGAAGCCGCATCTGATACTCGCTCGCTGGTTGGTGGTAGAGTCACCCAAAAAGTGTGACTACTGACTAACTCAGTCAATTCCTCAGATCATCATTGCATTTTGGGGAACAAAAATCCAACAAGAATATCTTCCACACCAACCAGTCACATGTGTGCATACTTTTGCTGCAATCTGAGTTCAGGCTACCAAAGGGCCTATGTAAAAAATACATTGTGCCGGCAAGAGACCCTTAACAATGCGTGTGTGAGGATACTGTATGATAATGTTGGGGAGGATCATGATGATAATGAGGAGGTGCAGGATGATGATGTTGAGGATGATGAGGTGGAGGGTGAGGTTGAGGATGATGATGTTGAGGAGGATGCGGATGATGATGATGATGATGTTGATGATGATGATGATGATAATGCGGAAGATGAAGTGGAGGATGAAAAGGTGGAGGATGATGATGTTGAGAAGGCGGGAGGTGATGATATTGAGGATGATAATGTTGAGGAGGATGATGATGATGATGATGAAAAGTATGACCCACAGTTTGTGCGACCTTGCGTAGTCGAAAACAAGAACCATTTGACGCCAGAATTTACATGTCCCCAAGACCGGGGCAACCGTTTTGTACGAGCCTGCGCAGTCGAAATGCACATGAACATGACACAAGAACTATTTTATGCGAAAAATTCTGGGAAAATGCTGCGCCACAGACGTTAGGCGCACGATGCGCAGTCGAAACCCACCTTGACACGTCACAAGAAATTTAACTGTACAAGTAAAATGCCGCAGACCGAGACCGCGACCCACATTTTGCGCGAGCCTGCGCAGTCGAAATGCACTTGGACAAAACACAAGAGCCATTTTATGCGAGAATTTACAGGAAAAAAGCGGGAACTCGGATTGAGGACCCTGATCAAGAACCGGCCTTTACCCGTTCCGTAAGAACCCCTCAGTGTGGACACACTGTTCGGGGAATAATTAACATCCATAAATATTGTGAATGTATTCATATCTCTCGACACCTTCTCGTAGCTCCATTGCGTGGAACTGGCTGCCCATTGGAAACCTTGAAAATCTGCTGCAGAGGAAAACTGACCAATGTTCCTCAGCAAGCAGCGAAGGCAACTCCAGGTGATCTTCCAGCGAAAAAGATTCGTGACGCCCCCTGTCCTAGTAACTAGTATGGTGACTGGTTGGTTCGCTGACTGCTTCGCCCCCCAAACAAACCCCCCAAACATGCAAAACCCTGGGCACTGGTTGGCTGACAGGATTCAAATAATGGGTTGTGGATGTTATGATTGTTTCCAATATATTGGGTACATTGTGGTACATTTGGGTACTATAATATAATACCCTATTCCCATGAACCAACCCGGGGATTGAATGGTTAGAATGTTGAACGCTGCTGGACTTGCAACATGCCTTGGAACCCACAGCTGGTCGGCTTTATCAAGCCAGCCTGACCGCTGACGTGCAACGAGCTTGGGACTCTGAGGCGCTGCACTCCGTACAAGTGCCGCAACATGGAACCGAAACCGGAGTGGAGCCACCAATGGAAACCAATGACTTGACACTGAGCTCCGCAGAAACATTGCATATGATAATTATGATATGTGATATGTGCAAATTGTGATCCACGAATTGCCAATGCTGCTGAGCTTTGAAAACACAAAGTGGACATGGGTCAAAATGGGAGGTCATCAGCCACAGATCGGGCCGTGGTTGTTGCTATCCACAACCAAATTCAGTTTGCTAATTCCATATGCTTCCTAGGGAAATTACAGTTTGACCCATCCTCCAAGATTTTCTGAGCTCGGGTGTTCCATGCTGCACGTCCCACAAGACTATCTTTCAGTTCTGGAGCTCGGTGGCAGCTCCATCACTGCTGATCACCACATATCACGACATCTCACGACATCTCGCTCCGAAGTTGCGCGTTCCGAAAGTCCTTTGTCGCCGCATTGGGGCATAGTAGAAGAACTCGGATGCCAACTCAGAGATGACAACATCAAGATGTGAACTTAATTTGTAGAACTCGTCTTCAAGGCTGTGGTCATCGGAATCCTGCGGTAGGTAAGAGTGTAAAGCTAGGATGAAAGGGCAATCATCCAACTCAATATGCTTTACATAAACCAAACAGTCGATGGGATTGCCCAGTCTGCCATGAAACGGTTGCACGAATACAAGTTCACCAGCTGGAAGTACTAATTCCATGTTCCCCAGCAAGGCTATGCCAGCCCCAGCTGTTTTGAAGAATTCTTGCTTTTCGAAGCTTTCGCAGAAGGTCTTCCAGAGCATCTGTGCTTTGGGTCCAGCGGCCACGTTCGGCTGAAACACGTCCCGCGCGTTGCCACCGGCCTTGGCCTTCCATGCAGGACCTCCCGGCCAGTTGGATGCAGAGGCATCGAGGCCTGCGGACCTCAAAGCGATGGGAAAATCCACGTTGCCCTCGCATCCATGTCTCGCCAGTGCCGCTAGGACAAAGGCTTGTTTCATCTTGCGAAGGTTTTGACGATCAATATGCTTCACCGGGTCATCCACCTCATCGAACAAAGGTGGCCCACTGTCCACACCTCGGACTTGTATTGGACTTGTGGCTTCAAGCCACCTGAAAAAAGATAGACCTTTGACGATGATCATCATTCCAAATAAGAATTAAAAGAAACTTAAAGAAATAAGACATGCATTTTGGAAAAAAAGTTTGCAACCACATAAAACCACTAAGCAGACACTTAGGCTAGAACTGTGGGACATGGTTTCACACTCTTCGAACTCATCCTCCGAAGCGAAGTCCTGGAAGGTCTCACCTGTCGGCAGCTGAGCTTCTGCTTCTGGCAACGGCTTCTCTACAGTTTCTTCACTGGGGGGCAACATGCCAATTAGGGCACCAAAATGGTGTGATCCAAATTGTTCACCTTCCTTCCTTGCATGCTTTTGCTCTTTCGAGCTGCTGGTGGTTGAGGCGGTGCTGCGACTCCAAATGGACGTCATGTCTTCTTCCCGTCGTTTCGTGGCGGACTTGGGTTTGACGCCTTTCGCTCAGCGAGTTCTTGGGAGAATCCATCTTGAATTGTTTCAGCCCGCTCTGCACGGAGTTCTGCATAACTCGTTTCCTGAGAAGCAGCTACTAGTAGGCCATGGACAGAAATGTCTTTTGAGATCTTTTGCACCAAGCCCGCATGATAAGACCAACCCAGGGTTGGGTGCACATTCTTGCGCCAACTAATCTCACACGCAAACAATTCTCCACTGCTGTGGCTCAGCAGCACAGGTACATGGGCCGGTACCTGGCAGGTACCAGCTGCGCATTGCACAGCCTCCTCTGCCGCTCGGGTCATTCGGTGGATGCTTGTGGCCACTTCACTGCAGGACAGCCCAGCCTCTAGAGAAATCTTCTTCAGCTCATGGGACTGGAGCAAATTTGCTGGGCTCAACTGCTGGCCTTCACAGTCATTGGCCGTGCAACCAAAAAGGTCCTGAAAGCCCTGGCTAGCATGTCGGATGACTCCCTTGGCCTTTGAGTCACAAATGACGTAGCTGGGGAGGTCGACCAATGCATTGGATTGTGAGCCTCCTGGGTGATGTCGATGGTGACTGCGTATGGCACTGGAACGATTTCGTTTCACAGCTAGGCGTAGCATGCTTTTCAAGGTCTTCTTGTTGTGGTTCTGCTTGATTCGAATCGAAGCCACACTTGCTCGGGCAAGGCTCGTGTTTCGACCTAGTCCTCAAAAAGCCTTGACTCAAGCAAGGGCTGAGAAAGTATTATTCTCCTGTGCGCCGGTCTTCGGTCTCACACTTCTGGGATGAATCAAGCCAACCAAAAATCTATACCACAGCTCTATGATGAGCTTGAACCAAGCAAGCACGGCCAAGTTTCACAACATGTCCTGCGTCGCACATCCACAAATCCACACATCTCTGCACATCCAGGGAAGCAACAGAAAAAGCACAAAGCATGAACATGTCATTATGTACACACTGGGCAACTATATGATTTTTTTATATCTATCCATATACATATATATATATATAAATACACACATATGTATATGTGTGTTTCTCTCTCTCCACCACCATCTTAGTATATGTATGATATATATATATATATATTAAATATATATATACATTAGTTGTGAGATGTAAAGCATAGATACTCAAAATGGTTCACACTGTCCAGGCTCACATCCGCATGGCTTTTTCTTCCCAAACTCTTCGTGCGGTCTCAACCTGCTCCTCGCAGGATAGTGCTTTGGAACGCTGTGCAGGTAGTCTCCTGCACAGCAGCACTGGTTGGATCCGTACACCCTGTTCCGCACTCCTGTAAACTCAGGAGGCTACACAGGTTGAATCTCTCCCGCCCAGTGCTACAGTCGTGGGACTCCACGTAGAGATCAGCATCCTCAATGATGTGATCCCCTACAAGGGAGGATACTCCACCGGAGTCCTACCTCATAGGGAGGGAAGGGAGGGAAAAGAAAGAATGATGAAGCCAGTTTGGCTCAGACTTGAGCCAAAATGGATTCATCAGCTTACATACTCACCCTAATGATAATGCACACCCAGTGCCTGCCAAACACGATGCATACATACATTAGTTGTGAGATGTAAAGCATAGATACTCAAAATGGTTCACACTGTCCAGGCTCACATCCGCATGGCTTTTTCTTCCCAAACTCTTCGTGCGGTCTCAACCTGCTCCTCGCAGGATAGTGCTTTGGAACGCTGTGCAGGTAGTCTCCTGCACAGCAGCACTGGTTGGATCCGTACACCCTGTTCCGCCCTCCTGTAAACTCAGGAGGCTACACAGGTTGAATCTCTCCCAATGCACTTCATCCCAAAGCACTCAGAGAAACTCCACAACCCGGAGAAACGCGGGAAGTGGTAGAGACCAAATCTCGAAGGGGAAAAATGCAAAATGCGTGGTGAACCCATGGCGTTTGTGCCATGTTGCCTGGAGGCCTTCACGGCTGATCTCATCAGACCAGTTGGCCTTGCTAGGGATCCACTCCCAGAAAAACCAAGCCTTAAGACCAAAAAGAGTGATATGAATCAATCGTGACATATGCTCTAAATCTGCATTGTCAGAACGACCTCGGATCAATGCCATCAACGCTGCTGTGTTGTCGATGAACCAAAGCCCTCGTCTACCTCGAAATCTGGACGGCCTAGAAAACAAAGCGTAGAGCACTTGCAGCAACTCTAACTGGGCAATCTTCTTGTCACCAGGCTCCCAGAGGTTGTACACCAATTGGGGGATGAGAGAAACAAAAGCTTCCCGATGTTGCCTGTGACTGTCATGCCACACCACCAAAAAGCCTCCTGTCCCCTGACCTGGGCTCTCCAACGCAGCATCCGAAGCCGCAAGGAAGCGGAGCCCCGCATGTGGCCAGATCTCGATGTGGCGAGAGGGCTGGGTGGTGATGACAGTGCGAAGCAGGTCAAAACTCTGGCGCAACTCTTCAGTTAACTCTGAAGAGCGCTCCTGCTGTCTGTGCTTGATGGGAGCCAAGCCACCGCAGCCAATACGCCCCCACACGCCAAGCTCAAAGAAGTTGGCGATACCATAGAGCTTGGCTGCTACCCCTGGTTGCAGCCTGCCGGATTCCTCGGCAGTCTGCATGAGATGAAGCAGCTTGGTCTCGATGCGGTCACGGGCCCAAAATTGAACCATACCTTTCAAATGGACTTGACTGAAATCGTGATCCAGGCCTAAAAAGGTGCCGGTACTCTGCATCTTTTGACATTTCTCCTCTGAAAACGGTGTGCCCAAAAGGGTGTTGAGAGTCTGCAAAGCTCTCTGACCTGATCCCCGGCACGATTTGCGGTCTGTCAGGTGAGCATCATCGAAATACAAGCTGGTCAAACAAAAGGCAAATCGACGTGATAGCGCTTCCACAAAGCGACTGTATCGATTGAACGATGTGACTGCGAGAGGAAGACCAAAGAGCAGCCCGGTATAAATCATGAACGCCGGTTGTTGCCATTCATGATGGAAGAAAGCCACAATGCAGCATAAGGCCTCATCCCAACTCATAGGGCAAAACCGATAAGCGTCTGGCCAATCCTCACCGCCAGACTCCCATTCTTCAGCCTCCCAGTGGGATGACCTCCCAAAGGCGTAGGCATACTGCAGGTGTTGGGCTGGCCGCAACGCTGAGCAAAGGGTGAGCTTGTTTGCATCACTGGAACGCTCAGACTGCAAGCCAACGTAAGCGTCATCAATCACTCGTTGCTTCCCCGAGGACTGTGTGATGACACATCGCGGGATCAATCGGTAGGGTTCCGCACCCAGACAACGCTGCAGTTCCTCTGCAGTCATGGGCAACCCACAAAACCCTTTCTCAGCATCTTTCAGGATTTGTTGCAACAAAAATTCATCGTCGGCACCTGGCTTGAGCCGAGCCAAAATGGTGTTGTTGTGGCTCTGCCAGTCATGGAGTACCTCTTCTCTCGTCAAACGTGTGGCAACTTGTTCCGGAAAAATGCCATATGGAGGCGCGTAACCCACTGCAGGAAGCCCCATACACAGGCCTGCTGGCAGTGTCACGTCCCCCCAATTGGCTATCAGAAGAAGGATTGCAGTGAAGCCGATGTCACGTTGCATTGTTGCCGTTCTGATGGCCTCAGTCTGTTTGCGGCGCAGATGGGTTGTAATCGAGCTCCACCGTCGCTTCAACTCAGACAGGATGCCCATGGCGCACTCTCGCAACCTGCGCAGGTCAACTCCTGGCAGACTGGAGAAAGATGCAGCAAACCTCAGATCCTCATCCAAAATAGGCAGCCCTTCAGTAGGCAACTGTTGCAGGCTGAGCTGAAGGGCTTGCTCGAAATGCTGATCGGGCTGAAGGTGAAAAGGCAGAAGGGGGGCCAACGCCGCCCTGTGGTTGATCGCTCCCACCTGTTGCCCTTCTGCAGTCCTCATCTTCTGCCGCACTGAGGGGGCTGCCAACACTGGGTTACAGCTGCCCTCCATGTCCAGACCTTGTTGGTGGCGCCATCGCACAAATAGGTCAAGTGGGTACTGATTCACTAAGTCCTCCACAAAGGGGATGGCGACTCCCTCGAACCACTCGCCTGGGTATAACCTCTTGAACGCTAACGCCAAGGACTCCTGCAGAATATAAAATGGCCCAAAGGGGATACCTGTAGCCCGCGCTACACTGGACAAGAGGACACACCGGGTAACTCCCTGTGGACTCCTGCCAGAAAACCCTTGGACCACCTGGGGGGCACTCCGCTGGCCCTTCTCGCTCAATCTATCAAAAATCAACCCAGCAAGGAGGTCGGCCTCACAAGTTTGGGCTGCAGGGCAATCACAGACGAGCACTGCCCCCTCGAGCTCGTCCAGCTCGCACCAGAGTGTCTCCCTGATGTACTGGACGTAGTAAGGAACCCAGTCTTGGGGGGTGCAATTCACTCCCACTTGCCATGGAGACTTCCACTTGGTGGTAGGTAGGCGGTGGTTATGATTTCCGAGCCCCACATACACATGACCGGGAGGCAAGGCGCCCTGTTGCAAGACATCGTCAACACATGCTCTCGTGGGCACCCTAGCCGCTTCAGCTGCGTCCAAAGGCCGCAGGCCCAGGCTGATGGCCAGTGGGGTCATAGCCCACTCACGCAGTGCTCTAGGATCGAGGTCAAGCCAATGGTCTCGATGCCCAGTGCAACTCGGCGATGGGGACCTCGGCACATAGAGCTTGGCGTGTCCAACACGCACTGCCCACCACGAAGCTGCCGTGGCAATCGCAAAGCAGAGCTCTGCTGTATACTCGGACTCCTCAGCTGAAGGAAAATGGCGCTTGCCATTCTGGACCCAAGGTTCCCATTCCTGGGGGTCATGGAAATGGTTGCAGTCAGCTCGTGGCCATGGCGCGATCTCTGCAATGTTGTGGCGCAAACGCTGCAGCTTTGATCTTGCGCCCCCAAAACAGCAGGCTGAATACCGCTGGTCTGACCAGCGACCACTCTCCCACATTGCTACCTCATCCGGTGTCCACCAATGGAGGCTGTTGTATGGGTTCTCGCGGACTGATCCACCACCCCTGTCCACCAACTGGTCGATCTCAGACAGTACAAAACTGGCAGCTGCGTTATCCTGCTCCACCCGTTGCTGCTGAGAACCTGTCAACTCAGGTAGCCCCAGCGGGTGCTGTTCAGATCGCAATGGCCGGGGTGGTGGGCGCCCATCACCAAAGTCCCGCGGAATTTCCCTCGCGCGGCTCTTGGTAGAGCAATCCAAAGCAGCTGCTATGAAGCACACCGACTGCAACTGCTCATGCAACGATTGCTGCCGGAGGCGATTGGATAGGTCGTGACTCCTATCCAACATCCAATCCACTGAAATGGTCTCCCAACCACAAAAGATAAAGGCTTTGGACAAAGGTGTATTAGGCCCCGCATAAAGGTCTGCCATCCGCGGCAGCTGACAGTCAACACTGTCTACGGGTCTAGCCTCATCCTGCCCAGCAGAAGTGCCCGCCTCTCCCACTGGGCCCCGTCAAGGCGAAATCTTCGCCCGACATTGAATAGCTCCATGCCCCGGCATACCACAAATGCGCTCACCGCGCACCACGATGCCACACTTGTGCTGGCCTTGGGGGCAAGAGCTCTTGGGGTTCTTGCACTGTCCATGTTG